CGGCGGTGCCTGGGGGACCATATAGGATGCGGGAATCGAACCTGGGATGGCTGCGTGCAAGGAAAACACCATACCCACTGTGCTATCACTCCAGCCCCCCAGGCCATCTCTTAAGGAAATTTTAAGGGAGAGAAGAGTTCTCCTATTGACTTGTTTCTCCTATTGAGAAAACAGCTAGGCTTTGAACTGCTGACTGTCAGAGAGGTGAACTTCGCATTACTCAGGGGCTCAAAAGAAATTGTGCTGCAACCTGATCTTGGGAGAGAACATCCTGTTCCAGAGATTGTAGCCCAGTGGGAAACACTCCCCAGGTGAACTGAACCCTGACTCCTGACCCACAGAAACAGGCTTAAACTGCCGAGTCTGTTCTTGAGCAATAGAAAGTAAATGCACAATTGTAATAAATCTGATTCCACTCCAATCCCCATGACTCTTATGACCTACACCTACCAGAGCTAGAATAGCCTAATATTTGGATCTTGGCGTTGTGTCTATAAACCCACTTCCAAAGTTGATTGCCCAGGCCCACTCAAAGGGCCGTGGGGGTTAGATTTGGCAATAAAGCACATCATTCTGTTCTATCTAGGAGGACTGAGTAATAAGTAGGCCCACTCACCTCCTCCTGTAACACCTAAATTGAATAAGAGATCAATTGTCTAGCCAGGCTGATCAAAAGTCAAAAGGAGGGCCAGAGAGAGAACTCAATGGACTGAAGTGCAAGCTTTGTGCGCAGGAGACCAGTGTTTGATCCCGAACATGGTCCTCCCCAGCACCACCGGGAGCGCCAAGAGCACACAGCTGGGTGTAGCTTTCCAATTAGTAGCTTTGTTTTTGGTGCCCCACCCAGATGTTCTCAGGGCTACTCCTGGCTCTGAGCTCAGGGATCACCTCTGGAGGAGCTCAGGGGAACATACGGGTGCTGGGTGTCAAGCTTGGCTTGGGTGCACGCAAGGCAAGCGCTGCATCTGCTACACCATCTCTCCAGTTCCCTCCAGCCCCTCTTACTCAACGTAGGACTGGCGATTCTGGCCGGATCAGGCCAGAAAAAGAAAGACATCCAAACGCAAAGGAAGAAGGAAAACAGTCTCTCTCTTTGTAGATAATATGATCTTCTACAGAGAGAACTCAAATGACTTCACAAACACACTGTAGCATTGTAGCACTGTCCTCTCTTTGTTCACTGATTTGCTTGAGCTGGCACCAGTAACATCTCCATTTTGAGACTTGTTACTGGTTTTGGCATATCGAACACACCACTGGGGAGTCTGCCAGGCTCTGCTGTGTGGGCGGGATACTCTCGGTAGCTTGCTGGGCTCTGTGTGAGGGATAGAGGAATAGAACCTGGGTTGGCCGCATGCAAGGCAAATGCCCTACCTGCTGTGCTATTGCTCCAGCCCCACACAAAAACTATTAGAACTAGTCACATTTTATTTCATTTTATTTTTGCTTTTTGGGTCACGCCCAGCGATGCACAGGAGTTACTCCTGGCTTTGCACTCAGGAATTATTCCTGGTGGTGCTCAGAGGACCATATGGAATGATGGAAATCGAACCCAGGTCAGCCGTGTGCAAGGCAAATGCCCTACCTGCTATGCTATTGCTCCAGCCCCACTAATCACATTTTAATACAGTTCCAGGATACAAAATCAATACACACAGCTGAAGTGATAGTTCAGTGGGTACACTTGTACTTGATAGTATACTTGCCTTACACCTGGCTGATCCAGATTTGATCCTCTGTATCCCATTTGGTCCCGAGCCTCACCTGGAACTATCTCTGAGCACAGACTCAGACTAAGCCCCGAGTACTTATAGGTGTGGCCCCTAAACAAACAAACATGTCTGTCCTGGTCCTGGTTGTGGTTGCTGTCACCACTACCTTAGTGGGGCTCAAAGGGTGCCCTGCTACTGGCGGGTAGACCTGAACTCACTAGGGGAGGGCATCAGTTGCCTGATGGTGCTCTCGGGCTTCCAGACACCCTCAAGTCGCTGCCATGCCTCCAGGACTCCATCAACTCGGGATCAAGTTTTCCAAGAGGTTAAACTGCCAAAAATTTAGGTTATCTGGGAGTCACACCCACAAGCCAACTCTGGCGCCTCATGTAAGCTCACCTACAAGCTTTACTCTAGCAGCTCATACATAAATCTTGAAAGAGAAGAAGCCTCAGAAAAAAAATTTTAGACACCCATGCATGGCTGAGACATCCAGGGCACCCCGGAGGGGGTAGGTTAGCCCAGTGCCCGCCCAGAGTCCCCAGCAGCCACTTGCTCCCACAATCCAAAATGACTGCCATGCCCCTGGCCAGACTCCATCGCCTTAAGATGGAGCTCACTGAGAAATTAACCTGTTGAAAATTCAGGTATGCGAAGTTTGTGGCTAAGATCTTCAGGTTTTCTCAGAGTCAGAATTGGGTATCTCTCCCCGCTGCCCCTTCTCTGTCCTTCCGGAAGCCCTGGGAAGTTAAGTCCACATCCCAAAGCTGCCACGCAGTTGAAAATATATACCTTCCTGATAAAAGTACTGAACTTCCTGACATCTCAAACTCTACAGCACTTACAAACCAGTAATAGGACACCAAGTTGGAGAAGGCAACCAATCTCCATTAACAAAACATAAACATAGAAGGCTTAACCTGTAACACTTTAGTAATCTCTCATACAAGGACTTATTTCCATAATGAGGTAATTTATTGGTCCACTGTTGGAAGTCTGCCTCGAGTGCTGGGGGAAAAGGCATTTGGGATAAAGAAGGGACCTCTAGGACAATGATAGAAATGATCACTCTGAATAAGACCTGCGTGCTCAAAGTAGGAAAAGGAACAAACATGATGACCTCTCAGTACTTGTATTACACACCAGCAAATCATAATGCCCAAAAGGAGGGAGTAGGGGAGTAGGGGAGAGAGAGAGAGAGAGAGAGAGAGAGAGAGAGAGAGAGAGAGAGAGAGAGAGAGAGAGAGAGAGAGCAAGTGAGCAACTGTCATAGAGGCAGAGGCAGCAGGCTGGGGGTAGTGGTGGGGGCAACTGAGGACACTAGTGGCGGGAAATGTACACTGGTGGAGGGATGGGTGTTGGGATAATGTATGACTGAAACTGAACAGCTTTGTAATGGTGTCTGATCCTTGGCACTGCCTGGTGCCCCAAGCACCACTGGCAATCCCCATGGCATCAGAATGAGCCCACAAGCACTGCTGGGTGCGGCCCCTAAGCCAAGATAAAAACAGGCTTCGAACAGATGTGCAGGTGCCTTTGGAAAGCCCAAGCATTTTCGTTTTGCCAAACCGCAGATAGGCAGGAGATATTTGCAATGTCTACGGAGAAAGAATTACTTTTGGAACAGACAGACACTCCTACAAATCAGTCTTTAAAATGTCAGAAAAGGGAAATAGGAAAATTCCTGTTTGCCCAAAGGGCTGACAAGCATATGTGCACGTCAAATATTATTAGTTATCAAATGAATAAAACAGTCAAAATACACCAGTTACACTCATCAAAGTCAGAAAATCACGTAATTCTGTTGCCAAAATTTTATGGGAAAATATTCAAGTTTAGTGAGTGAGAACATAAGCAAGTTCCTAGTTTCCGAAAACACACAGCAACGTTTTGCTAAACTAACACTATGTATGACCTAATGATAGTACTCATAGGTAAAGAAACTGTCATCCAGGTTCTTCACCTGGTGTGAGTGAGGCTACTTACCAGTATGGTGTTCATAGTAGCAGAGAGGTGAAGGGAGGTATCACAGATGTTCATCATAGAAATATGTATGTTAAGTGCAGTGGTGTCACACTCTATGTATGTCATTGTCAAATGCAAATTTATTTATTTACTTGAGTACCATAATATGAAAGTTATTATTCAATGACTTCCAACTTCAAGTTTTTGGGTGTTGGCAACACCCAGCAATACTCAGGGATCACACCTAGGGAGGTTCGGGAACTGAACCAGGATTAGCTGCATGCAAGTCTTAACCACTCTACCATCTTTCTCCGTACTCTCTCCCACACCCCACAAAAACTTAAGTACCTACAACCAGGGCTGGGGAGATAGCTCAAAAGGACAAGCACACAAGCTTTGCATGTAGGAGGACCAGGTTGGACTACTGGCATCGCATATTTCTCCAAGTACTGCTGAGTGGCCCCAGGGCATTTGCTGGGAGTGGCTTTTGATACCCCTGGGTGTGGCCCCCAAACCAAAATAAAGGACCAGGAAATTGATTGCATGAATCCAATATGGCTTGATTCCCCAATACCATATGCCCTCTGGCACATCATCAAGCGTGGTCTTTTGTTTTTCGCTACACCCTGCAGTGCTTAGGGCTCACTGCTGGTGGGCTGGGGGACCATATGATGTGCCAGGGATGGAACCTGGGCCAGCTGTACAGAAGGCAAACATTTTACTCTTTGTGTTACACTCCACTTCCCTCTTTTGTATCCATATCTTTCCTTCACCAATGGACTATTTGATTTTGGTGAAACATAAGGGTCTTTTGTTATCTAAGGGCATTTGTTCCTTGCTTTACGTTTCAGTTTGTATTACATCCATGGAATCCAAATCTAAAGGTAACTGTTCTACACAATTCCTTGTGATTCACTAATCTGTTACCTTCAATTTTAGGAGAAAAAAAAAAGAGGCCAGTCCTGGCAGTGTTAAAAAATCAAATTCAGATTCCCTACCCTTCATCTTCAAGGAATACTGTAAAATTTATTGTCTTCAGTTACCCAGTGGTTAAGATAAAATACTATTACCTATCATGATATTAAATATTCTTTAAAGTATACTTTCTGCATTTCCGTATCACTGGAATATTAGGTTTTGCCTGTTGTGAAGGTAAGAATCCTCTGAACCATTCATCCTCCTTGTACATGCTTTGTGCATTTTTCTTTCATTTTTACCTTGAGTGTAAGTTTTCTGACAAGGACAACAGAGGAGCACAATTCCATTCTGTGGTTCTGTAGGGATACAATTTGTCTAACTAATGGAAAGTCAATTCAGGAAAAATTGCAAGCAAAATTTAAGCAGCTTTATTGAATCATGAAGGAGTGGAGGGAGGCACATCACTTTCCAGTTTGAACTTCTTCCTTTCCCAGTTATATGAGCTTTTCACATTTAATCATTAAATTGAATTAAATATAAGTTGACTGTGAACAAGAATTAGCACAAAGAATTTCATGGAAGACATCTAGCCCTAGTTATTATATTTGAAAAGGAAATTTTAACTGGATACCTTTTCTTCAGTTTCTTTACTGATAACCTTACACAAAGATTCATGAGTAATCATTCTATGGAATATAAGAAGAGCAGATTTTACTGACATGTTTTCCCTAGATAGGCTTCCTTAGTTTATTTTTTGTTGTTTGGGCCACCTCTACCAGTGCTTGTGTGTGTGTATATGTGTGTGTGTGTGTGTGCGCGCACGCGCGCATATGTGTGGGGGGTGGCACTGAATTTCTGGGATCAAACTAATGCACCCGCATTTTCCTGGGCCCCAAGTGTCCTCAGTTTAGAATTGGCTTCTCATGCATCTGGATATTCAGACTGTACATTTTGGTAGACGATACATTTAACAAATTGCTTTCATTACGCGAATTTCCAAGTCCTCAAAAGTTTCCTAAAATTGTGAATGACAACATTTACTATAAGTTGGGTTTATTTATTTATTTACTTATTTATTTACTGCTTGCTTGCTTCGGGGTGATGCTCAGGGGTTGCTCCTGGCTCTGCACTCAGGAATTACTCCTGGCAGTGCTCGGGGGACCACATGGGGTGCCGGGGATCGAACCCAAGTTGGCCACGAGCAAGGCAAACGTCCTATTTGCTGTGCTATAGTTCCAGCCCCTCAGTCGGGTTTAAATGTTCTGCAAATGTCAATGAATAACAACTTTAACTATAATATGGTTAATCTTTTGGAATGCTCTTATGTAATACCTAAAGGTTTTAGCCAGTTGCTTCAATAACCTAAATTACTTTTGCAATCCAAAGAATAAAGAGGAAAATGTTACCTTGTTTGATGTACACCAATTTGTATGTTAATGTTCTGACAAATCGTAAGTCTTAATTTGTACTTCAATGTGTCATAAAAAATTCATCAAATGTTGAAACAGAAAAATAACCTAATAAAAGTTTCAACAGAGAATGGAAAAAAAAATTTCCAAGTAGCCTGACTAATCATTTGATCGAAAGACATTTTTTCATCTCAATGGTCTCTGTAGAAGTATAAGCATTAATTTGAGGTAGTAAACTACATGTCCTCCAAACCCAGAAAGATAAGGGCTTGAATGATCAAAGAAAATAACAGTATATTTCTTTTTATGACAGCATTACACTCTAAACTTCATAAAATAAATCACACAACTTTATACAACAGTATTTATTACCTATTTACTGTTACTTCAAATAGTCTAGATATATTAAAAAAATAGAATGTTTATAAATGCTCACTGATAAAACAGTACACAGCTGCTAATGGGATTTTTAAGTACTGTAAATTAATATTTAAAATGTAGTTCTCCTTACAGTAACATAAGTGCTTAAAAGAATTTAAGAATATACACACCTTTAGGCCCAAAAGGTTGAAAAAAATATGTACAAAATAAATATGTAGGGAATTTTAGAATTTTGTAGTTAGATGAAATTATGATCCCCAATTCCAAGCTGAGTAAATTATTCTGAACATATAATTTTAATAATAATTTTAATTAAGACTTAAAAATTTAGGATCATCAAATTTCTGTTAAGACAAGAGGCAGTTTTGGTATTGATGTTTTGATACATGATACTTATTAAAATAGTCAGTTATGGGTATAGCCTATAGCTATAAATGATTTCTTCATTTCCTCAGATTTACTTTTCAAATTTTGAAGAACCAGCATTATAAATCTTTTGCTATTTAAGTTCAAAAATTTTTAGCTATTATTAGATTTTTAGTTAGAAGAATGTTAAAATTTAATCATTGATTTTAAAAAATTAGGGCAGAATAAAATCTTAGCAATTAACACCAGGTGCACATCAAGGCAAGTGCTCTACTACTGAGCTACAGCGTTAGCACACTACTAATATTTCAATATAATATGCAGACAATGAAATTAAAGATTGATTGCTGATAATCAACTGTTTTCGTGGCTTACATCCATTTCCAAAACTATAGTCTGTGATCTGATTCAAAATATGTATCTGATTCAAGGTAAAGTACTTGAAAAACATCATAATTATAATTATTTTATGTATCCCTTATAAAGGCAAAACTCGATTGTGAAGGTTGATGGAAACCAATAATGTTATTAGTATTTTAAAATAAACTGAACAAAGTGAACACCGAGGCTTGTCTGAAAGAAGCTGTTTGTCATTCTTTTTTAAAGAGATTACAACACACATACAATAAATGAATTTTATCAAAATACAGCACATTTTCTACTATATTCATAAAAATCAATTCCTATGTAAATATTACTGAAAATCAACTAAAATGAGTTAAAATTTACAAAGAGTTGTTAAAGGGTTTCAATCATTATTAAAACTATACAGTACGACCAATTGGTGACATCTTAAAAGAAGGGCAATATTTGAGTTCACGTAGTTTTAAAAGTACTGCCTACTTACTCTGTCTAGCAAGAAAGGACAACTTTGATTCATTTGCAAAATGTAGATTGCTGTTTTTGCTAGTCCTATAAAAGTCCTGATCAAAATCAGACTGAAGAACGATCATAACAGATTAAAAATCTCAAAACTATATATCTTAGTAATTAAAAATAAATTGCAGTAACTGATATTGCTCTAACGAAAGGCTCCAAACCAGCCTTGACTAAAAACAGTTATTGGTCTTCTATGGCACTTTAATCTGGTCCAAATACCATGCATTAATTCCTATCATTGCATGTTATTCAATTTTTATTTGATTACACAGAGAGAACACAAGTAAAATTGCTTGGGTAAACAAAATTAATCAACTATCAAGTATTTGTTACACTAACGAAGAACAAAGGCAGTTGGTGGTAAAACACTATTATACAAATACACTTAGAAACCCTTTAAAGACTCTGAAGCGCTGAATTCACATTAATGTCACTTGTAGGAACAGCCCTTTATTTAAACATCACTACACGCTGGTAGGCCTTGCGGACCTACCCCTTTGCTCGCCAGCTCTCCGCAGCAACTCTCTATCACTGGGCCAGCTTCATAAACTCGCTTTGGTTTCCTAGCTCCACGCGTATTATTTCCTTTTACTTTGCCAAGGCAATGTGAGGCCAAATAAAAATCAAGCAGTTTTCCTAATCTTGTATTTTATGGTACAACAGCATAATCATTAAAATTGGCCATTTTAGTATCATTTGCTGCTTAAAATAAAATTTATAACATGATTAAAATGGAGTACTAATCATAAAACAGATTTTAAGTACTGCCATTTGCAAAAAGATCAGGGGATTTCCATAGCACAAAAATGCATGGACAAGCATCTATAGTAGAGTTAAAAATTTTGTTATGAAAAATTAAAAACTGAAACCACCAGTAGCAAATGTACTGTCAATGATGATGACAACAAATCCTGTAGTTCATAAAATGCAATTATTGTCTTTTTAAAATTTCTTTACAAAGACATTACATTTTTATTGCATTATTCTATTTAAAAAACACAGGAACAGTTTTTTATTCATTCTTTGCTTCCAGATTTTTATAGGAATTAACTGTTTTAATCTGGCCTTGGAAAGTGAATCCACCAGCACCACCTTCACCTACTCACTCTTCAATTCAATATGCACATAGCAAAAACCAACACTTCAAATCTCTTGCCCACATTTAAAAAAAAATGTTTCAACAAAAAAACATTAATACCAGTTGAATAAAAATAAGAACATATAAGCTATGAGACAGAGAGCTCTGCCATTTGTCTCTGGACTACAATGAAGGCTAACTAGAGCCTTGCAGAGTCATGTGTATGAAATCCAAAAATAAACCTACACTCTATACAAAAACACATGTTTGCTTTTGTATCCTTGATTGTTGTTTAAAAACCCAACAAGAAATTTAAACGGTATGAATTCAACAGTCTCCCCTATATACTATACAGTGGTTCTTTCCCTCTAACCACAAGTTCCTTAATTCATTAATGTACAAATTTGTACATAATTTGAGTTCTTTATATATAAAAATAGTCAAAATATTAATTTCCCCTGCAAGTCTATTCCAATGAATCTTGCTGTCTTCCCCTTTTGCAATCCATAGCGCTTATGAAGAAACTTCTCGTACAATGATGAGTTCAACTGTGTTCTGGAAAGTTTTTAGCAAGGATACTGCTTGTCCATGTTCAATATTAATGAAACTGTAGCCATTTGCCTATAAAACAAAAAAAGTTTTTACAAAAAAAATTTCATAGTAACTTGTATCTCTGTACTTAAAATTTTGACAAATACTTCATATGACATACTTTCATGTGGCAGAAAGTAAGAATCATTTCAGCTACTTAAAAACAAGGGTTCTACTCCCTTATCTATGAAAATACAATCTTGGACGGTGGCACCTATGTCTTGCCCACATTTTCAGATGACTCTTAGTGTTAGGTACATGGTGCTGTATGCAAATGAGACCACGAAGTTTTAAGAAGAATGTGGGGCTGGAGCGATAGCACAGCGGGTAGGGCGTTTTTGCCTTGCACGCAGCCAACATGGCCGACACAGGTTCGATTCCCAGCACCCCACATGGTCCTCTGAGCACCGCCAGGAGCAATTCCTGAGTGCATGAGCCAGGAGTAACCCCTGAGCATTGCCGAGTGTGACCCAGAAAGCAAAAATAAATAAATAAATAAATAAAAGTCCAGTTATAGGAAAAAATAAATGAATAAAAAAAAAGAAGAATGGAGCACAGGTCTAGCTTTCTCACTGCCTAGGGATAATTAGATCAAGAACATTACACTTTTTATAATTTAGTCTAAAAAATGATTGAGGTTTTACTATATACCACATAGTTCTGGCTGCCTCAAATGATTAAAATATATCACTGTCCTGTCACTGTCCTCCCGTTGTTCATCGATTTGCTCAAGTGGCCCAGTCACGTCTCCATCTTGAGACTTGCTGTTACTGTGTCTGGCATAACGAATACATCACGGGGAGCTTGCCGGGCTCTCCGAGAGGGGCGGAGGAATCGAACTCGGGTCGGCCATGTTGGCTGCGTGCAAGGCAAACGCCCTACCCGCTGTTTTTTTTGTTTTTTTTTGGTGGCTGGAGTGGGAGGTGGTTGTCCCATCCCCAGCAGTGCTCAGGGCCTAATCACCATGAAATTACAAAGTTACTCACGATCGGGTTTCAGGCATGCTCCATTTCAATACCAATCCCTTCACCAGTGCCCTCTTCCCTCAACCAATTTCCCCTTCTCCCCTATTTTGCTTTCCACTCACCAGTCTGCCTCTACAAGGGACACTTTTTTAAAAACAAGTAATTTTTTCCATGTGGTTTACTGTACTGCTGCTGATAGGGTTTCACACATAACACTTAACCACCTTTCAGTACTACTGGTTCTTCCTGTCTGATCTTCCCTCCAGTACAGTTGTTGCCTCTCCCTGTCCCTCATGGTTGACTCTTGGCTATGAGCTTAGGGACCACTCCTGGTGGGCTCAGGGTGCTGGGGATTGAATCTCGGTCAGAAGCATGCAAGGCAAGTACCCTACCCACTGCTATATGGCTCTGGCCTCTGATTTAAATTCTTTAAAGATCATACACCACAAAGAAGATCATTTCATCCCCTCCTTTCGGTTTTTGGGCTATATCCAGTTCTGCACAGGGACTGCTGCTGGCAGTATGTGGGGAATCATGGATTGCTGGGGATCAAACTGGGCCTTCTACATGCATTGCATAAGCACTGAGGCATATCCCTGGCACTTCATACATACTTACAGATATATTTCATAAAATGCTTATTTTCAAATATGGCATTTAACAATTTTTGATGAGGTAGACTCTATAAAGAAAAAAAAATTACCTGAATAATTTTATCACCAGGCTGCAGCAATTTTGATGCTGGTCCTTCAGGTTGTACCCTTGTTACAAATATACCCTTTAGCAACAATAAAAAAAAATTATTCAATGGGAAAACAGTATGTATAAATAACAGAATATCAAAGGGCAATCCGTTTGCAAATATTTGAATCATGGTACAAGTCTCCGATGCCTATTAAGAGTACTGTGATAACCCAATTTTATTTTTATATCTAATAATACACCTGTGATTTTGGTTAAAGGAATAAAGTTTTTTCTGTAGATATGCAGCAAACAGCAAAATTACAAATCATTCCATGACATAACATTTAAAATTTGGTTTGTTTACTATACATTTGAACTATTCCAAAACAAATGAATAAAAGAGGAAAATTTAAAAGTTATTTTAACCTAAATAAGTATTAAATTAGTAAACAAACATTTATGGCTATTCCAAGGTTACATAAACAAAACTCACATCGTCTTCAGGTCGGAATGGGTTTCCTCTACCCCCAACACCTCCTGATATGCTAAATCCAAGTTCTGGATCTTTTTCAATCCTTACACAAATCTAAAATTAACATGAAAAGAAAATGTACTATTACTATTTCAAAAAGATTAAACACATTTGAACATCTACATTATAAATGTTGGTTGAATTAAGTTCAAGCAAAGAGACACATGTAAAGTTTGTATAAAATAAATATTTGAGCAGATGAATTGAAATTACAATTGTAATTTTGCATTATTAAACTAGTGGAATATTGCATTAATAAACTAGTGAGTTAAAAGCACAGCTCCTCATTTAACATACTGCTGACTTTATGACCAATCAAGTGTTGACCTTATTACATATGTGTATTTTGGGGGAGGTTGGGTGACATTCGATGGTGCTTAGGGCTTACTTCTGGCTCTGTGGTCAGAGATAACTCTTAGCGGTGCTTGGGGTTCCATATGATGTGCCAAGGATGAACCCTTGGTTGGTTATGTGAAAGGCAAGTGCCTAGCCCATTGTACTTCTCCTTGGTCCCTACCTTACAATTTTTAGGCATCAGAGAATTTCATGACAATAAAGTATAAACCTCAAACATGTTATTATCAGTTTTCATTTGTGGTACATTTAAATTCATATTATCTGTGTCTGTTAGATGTTTTCTTTTCTTTTTGTGCTACACCAGGTTCTGCTCAGAGCTAACTTATTACTACTGGATCTGCACTCTGATATCATGGCTGGTGGGCTCAGGGTGGAACCATTTGGGGTACTGGGAAGCAAATCTGTAATAACTTTTATAACTAAGAAGTAAACTTTTTTTTTCTTTGCTTTTTAGGTCACACCCGGCATTGCACAGGGGTTACTCCTGGCTCATGCACTCAGGAATTACTCCTGGCAGTGCTAGGGGGACCATATAGGATGCTGGGAATTGAACCTGGGTTGGCTGTGTGCAAGGCATGCAAGCCCTACCCACTGTGCAATTGCGCCAGCCCTGGAAGTAAACTTTTTTAAAAATAAAATATTCCTTTTCCCCAGAGACTCACTCAACTAGTTTAATAAAGCATTCAATTCCTACCAAAATTTCTAATATTTTATCAACAACAAACTATCAAATAAAATGAATGTATGATTGGTGACTCTTGTTTTCTGACTACAACTGATGATACTTGAGAACTACTCCCATATCAGTGCTTAGAATTCTCTCCAGTTGATGCTCAAGGGGTGTCACGCATTGGCAGGAATTGAATCCGAGATGCCAGCATGTAAAGTCTATGTTGCAGTGATGACCAGGGACGTTTTTAGTACTCTGGAAAGATTTAACTCTCAAAATAGTTTGGAGACTATAGTCAACATCAAAATCCAAGTGTCAAAATAGCAAAGTATAATATACCACTCATATTTTTTCCTTGAAGAAGGCCTAATTACTAGAGGAGTATCATCAGTTGGTTTGGGAAAAATGATCACTCAAAAGAAAATAATTATGCCCAAAACATCAATATTGATATTTTATGCTGATTAATCAAGAACAGGATACACTAACATCAAGTACAAAAGTAAGATCAAAATGGATTAAAGACCTCAACATCAGATCAGAAACCATAAGGTACACTGAAGGCAAAGTTGGCAAAACCCTCCATGACATTGAAGCTAATGGTATCTTCAAAGATGTCACGCCACTGGCCAAGCAAGTGAAAACAGAGATAGACAAACGGGACTATTTTAAACTAAGAAGCTTCTGCACCTCAAAAGAAACAGTGACCAAAATACAAAGACAGTCTACAGAATGGGAAAGGATATTCGCCAAATACACATCCAACAAGGGTTGATATCAAGGATATACAAAATACTGATTGAACTCCACAAGAAGAAAACAACCAACCCCATCAAAAAAATGGGGCAATGAGAGATTAGTACCAGGAATTTTACTCCATGGCTTGGAGGCCAACCACACATGCTAGGGGAAAAGGGAGCTCAGATAGAGAAGGGAACACCAAATAAAGGTGTTGGGAGGATCCTCCCAGGATGGAAGAAGCATGCTGAAAGTAGACTATAGACCAAACATGATTGTTACCCATTGCCTTTTTTGCAAGCCACAACACCCAATAAGAGAGAGAGAACAAAAGGGAATGCCCTGCCACAGAGGCAGGGTGGGATGGGAAGGATGGGGGGTGGGAGGGATACTGGGATCCATGGTGGTGGGAAATGGGCACTGGTGGAGGGATGGGTATTTCATCCTGTAGTTGAAACCCAAGCACAAAAATATGTAAGTCCACAACTGTACCTCATGATGTCTCACTAATTAAAAAAAAAAAAAAGGTCGGACAATTAAAAAAAAAATGGGGCGACGAAATGAACAGAAACTTTCTCAAAGAAGAAATCCAAATGGCTAAAAGGCACATCAGAAAATGCTCTACATCATTAATTATCAGGGAGATGCAGATCAAAACAACAATGAGATATCATTTCACACCACAGAGACTGGCCCATATCCAAAAGAACAAAAGCAACCGGTGTTGGTGCGGATGTGGCGAAAAAGAGACTCTCCTTCACTGCTGATGGGAATGTCGACTGGTTCAGCCCTTTTGGAAAATAGTATGAACGATCCTCAAAAAATTAGAAATTGAGCTCCCATTTGACCCAGCAATACCACTTCTGGGAATATATCCCAGAGAGGCAAAAAAGTATAGTTGAAGTGACACCTGCACTTGTTTGTTCATTGCAGCACTCTTTACAATAGCCAGAAACTGGAAGAAACCTGAGTGCCTGAGAACAGATGACTAGTTAAAGAAACTTTGGTACGTCTACACAATGGAGTACCATGCAGCTGTTAGAAAAGATAAAGTGATGAAATTCATATACAAGTGGTACTAATGGAAAGTATCACGCTAAACGAAATGAGTCAGAAAGAAAGGGACAGACATAGGAAGATTGCATTCATCTGGGGAACATAAAGTAACAAAATAGGAAACTAACACCCAAGAATGGCCGAGATAAGTACCAGGAGAATTACTCCACGTCTTTGAGGACAGCCACACACGCTAGGGGAAAAGGCAGCTCAGACAGAGAAGGGAGCACCAAATAAAGGGTGTTGGGAGGCTCCTCTCAGGATGGGAAATGCGTGATGAGAGTATACTCTAGACCGAACAAGATTGCCACTCAATGTCTATTTTGCAAACCACAGCACTCAAAAGGAGAGAGATAACAAAAGGAAATGCCCTGCCACAGAGGCAGGGTGGGATGGGGGAATGGGGAGGTGGGAGGGATACTGGGACTGGTGGTGGTGGAGAATGGGCAGTGGTGGAGGGATGGGTATTCGATCATTGTATAACTGAAACCCAAGCACAAAAATCTGTAAGTCTACAACTGTACCTCATGGTGTTTCACTAATAAAAATTTAAGGGGGAAAAAAAACCAGGATACAGCTTATAGACAACATGAAACAAAACTTTTAATACTACTGTTAAGAATGTATTACTAATGATTAAACTAAAATTAATTAAAAGCTTAGGATCATATTTAAAATATTGATTATTCTTACCTCATGCCTTGCCAGTTCATGGCCTTGTCTAGAAGAACAATGGGGCTGTGTATATGGAGGCTGGTGGGCCACTTTCAGCATCAAGTAATCAATTAATTGCTCTCTAGAGGGATGCCTTGCCACAGATGCCTGAGGAAGGGGGTGATGTATTTGACTATAATTTGCCTGAGGCCTGAGAGGTTGGCCCATCTGTCCATTACTCAAAGGAATCTAAGAAAAACATAAAAGTGTCTTAAAATATCTTATCACAAATATTTGGGCTTTCTTCCTGCTGCATTACAAAAGCACTAGTATTTAACATTCTAAACCATACACATGACACTCACACTAATTTTTCACTAAGATTTTACACTGATAAAAATATTTAAGAAAGCGCATTAGTAAAGTTTTTCCAAAATAAGTCTCTCATATATATTTGAAAGATGCATTTACTGGTGCCTTTTTTTCCAAAACAAAGCAATTTTGGTGATAGAACTTCACCAATTTGAATTAATACACAAAGTATATTAGCAACAAATAAGTTGCCATGGCATTATAATTTGTTTGACAAACTATTTGAAACACTATTACTTTGCTGTTGGAATTACCTTTGTTTTATTTTTGAAAATTTATTTTGGGGCCACACCTGGTGATGCTCAGGCCTTATTTCTGGTTCTGCACTCAGGGATCACTTGTGGTGGGCTCCGGGGACCATTTAGGGTGCCAGAAATTAAACCTGGGTTGACTATATGTAAGACAAGTGCCATAATTACTGTACCATCTCTCTGGCCCTGAGTTACCTTTAATGAATATATGTATATGAGGGGGGTCCACATATGGCTCTGTACTCAGGGTGCCATGAACAATTGGGAATCAAACCCAGGCCTTCTGTATTAAAAGTATGATCTCAGTGCTTTAAGCTTTTTCTCCATCCTTTTAAAATTATCTTTGTGGAAATGTGCCTAATGCCTTATTCTGCTAAGTGTAAAGAATCTTTCAAAAGCAAAAGAAACCTGGTTCCACGGCGTTCTCTCTCTAGCCCCAAACTTCTGATCCATTAAGACTTTCTAATACCTAGATATGCTTGGTTGTCTTGACATTCCACAATAGTACAAATGCCCAAAGAATATATTGAGCCAAGACTAGCAGGTGGCTCATGAGAACAAAAAGCATAAAAGAAACTTAGAAATTTAAGTCACAAAATGGATTTAAAAACAAAAGAAAAAGAAGCTCTAGATAATAGTTCAGTTCAATAAAAACAGAAAACAAGGGTAAAACAAAGAGATATGTCTGAACATATATGGCCGAACTGACTTTCAAGAACAATGCCAATTTTATGTAACACAATACTATAACTATAGCTATACTATAACTATAGCTTGTTTTATCAGGCTTATGGAGTAAGTTTATAAAGAATTTCTGAGAAAGAATTTTGAATTGGTGATGTAGTGATGTTTGCTTTCATACTAAATTTATAGCCATACAAAAGATTTTCAAAGTGATTTGTAATTATATTTTAAATGCCTTTAGTAATGATAAAACAGTCTCAAATAATTTATGGCAGATTTGTCTTTAAACTCTCCAAATAGGTCCGTTACTAGGAATGCCCAGAAAACTAATTCAAATGATATAATAAGTAATGTGATCGCTATAAATTTAAACAATAACATAACTGGTGAGTGTAGGAAAAAATTCTGGAAAGTACTGAGAAACAGCATGTAAGAGTGAAATTCTATTAAAAAATTCTCAATAATTAAAAATAAAACCCTCGGGGCTGGAGAGATAGCACAGCGGGTAGGGCATCTGTCTTGCACGTGGCCGACCCGGGTTCAATTCCCAGCATCCCATATGGTCCCCTGAGCACCGCCAGGAGTAACTTCTGAGTGCAGAACCAGGAGTAACCCCTGTGCATCGCCAGGTGTGACCCTTTAAAAAAGCAAACAAAACAAAAGAAAAAACCCTTATTAACCGGGGGGGGGGGGGGGGGGGGGGGAAGAGAATCACCAAAAAGTCTTTTTAGTGTTAATGTACAGAGTATTTAATTCAAAAGTTGTAAAATACAGCAGGCTCACAGACACTATTTCACTTCCTGAGCACCTACTTTCATCAAGCTGTCTGGAGACACATCTCTGTGACTAAGTGTAGCTGCTGAGTAGTTCTGTCCTGAAATGAACACATCATCTTGACAAGGATCGCCTGGACAGGATGTCTGAGGATGCTTCAAATGAGGAGGAAATAAAAATTAAACAAAGAATGATCTTTTAAGATGTGAAATCAAAATGACACTTGGAAAATGATTAGGAAAAAATATCACTAGATAATGGAAAGAAAGATGAAGAACCAAATAAAATGTTACATTACCTGTCATCAATATTAGTACTCCTATGAGAGATGTTGACTAATTTTATGGCAGTAATCATTTCATAATATAAACATGTAGCAGATCATTATGACAGACAGAATCAGCAGTGTTACATATCAATTTTCTGTCACTACAAAATGGGAAAATATCTGATCCTTTAGCTGACTTCCAAACTAACAGAAAATGAAAGACACTGTGATAAAAAGCACTACTGTTGCTTTCTAAATAGTGTATGGCTGGCAATATAGAGAATACAAACTTCTCCATCATATTAAAAAATACGCAATCTCATTCATTTTGATACATATAAACCTAAGGGGGCACATAACTTAATCTTAGAATCCATACCTACAGCAGATATAGAACGCACAGTTCACCGTTCAAACCATGACTCAGTATATTTATGTGGTTTGGTCTAACTCTATGTATTTCTGTAATAAATATTTTCCTTCTCCATTTTTAAAATTTGTTCTTGGAATGTTTATAATAATTTAGTTCACAACTTTAAATGTAAACAAGTTGAAATGTACAAGTATGTTTACCTAGTCTTTACAAAAACAAGCATATTATAAATGAAAATGAAACAGACTCAAAGGGTGTGAACTAAAGAATAATAAGAAATAATAGTAAAGAATATGGAAAAAACAATTGTTCCAGATGACTATAAAGATTATCACCAATTCTTAGTAAAAGCTCTGATCTTTATTTCATGGATTCAACTAGAATGAGCACCAGAAAGAGTCGATCACTTGCCTCTCCCTATTTGCAACTGTTCAGTTACAAAATGATTGCTGCTATTAGCCTAGCATAAACCCTGCAGTGGTCAGTGACAAAAGGCAAAGGAAAAGGTAAGGCCCAGCTCAGAACAAAACAATGCAGGAAACTGTTCCTACCCTAGAACATAGCAAAGTAGTGTCAGCAACGTATAAAAACAAGGAGAGGGGACAGAGAACTAGGGAAAAAGCAACGGACCCCAAAGTCAGCATAGTCAACATGAAACTAATGCTCTGGGGTAAAGGGAAAAATTAAGGTTGTATAGGAAAAAAGGGTCTTCTCAGGATGGAAGGGTCTTTTAGGTAGAACAAAAGAGCTAATTAGAGTCCATGGAACCACCTCAAGTTAGTTATGGAGAGAAAAATCTTTAAAAACCATGTCACAGCTATTCTGTTCTTAATCACCCATTTTTATCTGACCCTCAACTTTTACCAAAAAGAATTAAAAAAAATTTTTTTTTCCCTCGCCATTCTTATTTTGCTGAAATGTAGGCAATAAAGGACGTGGCATTTATTATAATTTCTTCTCTTTCTTGGGGGTGCCAGGAAACAGGACCTCACATATGAGGCATTCATTTAGGAAAATACCTGGCCCTCTTGACAGTCTCACATTTAATTATATCCAGTGATTATGTCATTTAGTTTCAGGTACTGCTTTTTTATTTACCAATTCTCAAATTCTACACAGATTATTCTTCCCAACAACTTCTCTGTGAATGGCGTTTGCCTTGTGCGCAGCCAGCCCGGCTGAGCCGGGTTCGATTCCTTCGCCCCTCTCGCAGAGCCTGGCAAGCTACCCAGAGTATTCAATATGCCAAACACAGTAACAAGAAGTCTCATAATGGAGATGTTATTGGGCCCGCTCGAGCAAATCGATGAACAACGGGAGGACTATCCCCTAACTATCCCAGACTTAAAATACTGAGTTAGGGTAGGTATATTAAATTTTAATTAATGTACTTTTATTTTGGCTTTTGGATCACACTGGCAACTCTCAGGTGCTACACTTCTGGCAGTAATTAGGGGTTCATGCTGTTCTGAAGATCAAACCCAGGTCTCCTGCATGCAAAATATACTCCAGTCCTATTTCCCCAGCCCAGAGCAGGTTAAATTTTCCTTATTTGGGTATGGGGGAAAACATATCTGTGGTACTCAGGGGACCACATAGGGTGATGGGAATTGAAGCCAGGCAGGACATAGGCAAGGCAAACTTCTACCCACTGTTACTATCGCTTCAACGTCTCAGAACAGGTTAATTTTAATACTAAAACATTGCAATAGCACAACAGGTAAGGCATTTGCCTTGAACGCGGCTGACATGGCCGACTCTGGTTCAATTCCTCCACCCCTCTCGGAGAGCCTGGCAAGGTACTGAGAGTATCTAGCCTGCACAAACCTGACAAGCTCCCCATGACGTATTCAATATGCCAAAACACCAGTAACAACAAGTCTCTCAATTTGTTGTGAGACGTTACTGGTGCCTGCTCGAGCAAATTGATGAACAACGGGAGGATACTGCTACAGTGCTACAAAGAACAATCATTTTAAAAAAGCTCTCAATTTCTATTACCCTTTTCTAGGAGCTGGAGCAATAGCACAGTGGGTAAGGCATTGTCTTGTACCTGGCCGATCCGAGTTCAATTCCTCCACCCCTCTCGGAGAGCCCAGCAAGCTACCGAGAGTACCAAGCTACCTGTGATGTATTCGATATGTCAAAAACAGTAACAACAAGTCTCACAATTTGTTGTGAGACGTTACTGGTGCCCGTTCAAGCAAACTGATGAACAACGGGAGGACAGTGCTACAGTGCAGTGCCACCCTTTTCTAGATTAAAAAAAAAAAAAAACAAGAAAAAACCAAAATAAAAAAAACAAAACCTGAATCAAATATTTAAGAAATCTAATTATGAGATAAAAGATTAAATTAGAGTTGAGTAAGTTTTAGATAATATCTAATGATAATATCTAGGAATCTAATCTACAGTAAAAATATATGCTATAACAACAATAAAATATGGGCTTTCCCCCCTCTTCTATGTACTAAAAGTACTGATCTACCACGGGTACTCACTCGGAAAATGTGCCCACCAGAACCTCTTCCGTCTGCAACACTCAAGGCAAGACTACCTTGGCTGCCATGCAGATCCCTAGAGCTGCCATAGTGAAAGCTGCTTACAGCAGTAAAATTGGAATTAAAGGACCTTGACAGCATGCTCTGAATAAAGAGGGGACAGATTTAACAGAGATTAGTGCAGCATGCAAAATTCACAAGACAGGTTATATACACAGAAATATTTACAAGTCCCCGTATCACTCAGAAATACCATGCAACACTGAATCTTTAGTGCCAGTGAAAGAAAATGGCACTATTTGCCATATATTAACATGACCATATACAAATACATTACACGTGAATACAACTAGTTAGACATGTAAACACTAAGTACAAACATAAAATCTCTTTTATGTTGTTTTCTTCATTCTACTGAAATACATTTTGGAAGAAACTTGTCAGAAAATCGGCATCATCTTATTGATAGGTAGTTTTACATGGAATATAAACTCATTTCTCCGTGAAAATAAATTTTACCAGCAAGTAACTTCTAATTCAAAATTAATTTTTAGAGTTTGCTTCGTTTTAAAGAAACTATCTTATTAAATGAACTTTAAACACACAATATAGCACAAATATATTTGCAAAAAAAACCTAGCTGTGGCTATTGCAATTTCCTTAAAAATTATCTTCCAAATATAAAAAATATTTTACATTAAGGAATACTTTTAACATTAACACAATTTTAGAACTTTTGTTTTGGGGACACACCTGGTGATGCTACAACATCACCTTTACTCCTGGCTCTGTACTCAGGCACACTCCTGGTGGGGGGGACCATATGGGATGCTGGGATGAAACTTGGGATGGCGTCGTGCAACACAGGCGTCCTACCCACTGTACTATCTCTCCAGCCCCAGATTTAGTACATTAAAAAAAAGACCCCAAACATGAATTCTTAAGTCTCCCATTGCTCTACAATTAATAAAAAAATAAAAAATACCCCCAAACAGAAAAATACACAGGGAAAAATTTTTCCAAACAGAGATGTTAGTGATTATACTACAGGAGTTTGTAGTGGCCTCTGCTGCTTAATTTTTTCCTCTTTTCTCTTGGGGGTAAGGGGGGGAGGAGGATTCTCAAGTGGTGCTCAAGAGACCTGGGAGCCTCACCCTGTGATTCTCAGTCAGTCTGGTCAGTGGTTCAATGTAAGAGTTTGAAAACATGATGTGGCCTGGCTCTGTGGTGCCAGAACACCGGGGCCAGACTGGTGGTGCGGAGATGCTGGAACTGCCTTAATCATTGTCTGTCCCAGACCCTGCTGATTGGGTCTAATGACAAATCTGAGAAAAACTTTATTACTTTCAGTTGGCTTGTTACTGAGAAACATAGTAAAGATCAATTAGTACTAGCATAGACTGTGACAAGCATTTCCATGTTAGTCTTGGCAAACATACGCCTTCTCCAGATTGTGAAGTTGACATCTGGTACCAAGAAATTTAAATATGGCACTCCAGAAGGAAAGGGATCTATAAAGTTACAACATACACTTTTCAGTTATTCTGTGAATTTTAAAAGTAATAATTAAAGAAAAATGAAACTTAGGAGGCTAGATCGGTACCTTCCAAACTATTTCACACAGAATAAGAATATGGCAGTATAAATTAGAGGTTATGCTATTTTATGCAGAGTTTTAGCATGCTGTTGAGTGTTTTGATCCTTAATAATATATAGATCTTGAAAGAATTTCTGTCATCTTTAAACACACATTTAAGGTTATTTTGGCTTAATTTATTATTTTTTTTTTTGGTTTTGGGCCATAAATGACAGTGCAAAGGAATGTGGTGCTCAGCACTTCTTCTGGGACGCCCACATGCAAAGCACGTGCTCTGCCTACTGAGCTCTCTCAATGGTCCACAGATGTTTTTATAAATATCTCACTGACCAAGAAGACTAATGCTCAGAACAGGTCTGACTTCTTTTCTTTTCCCTGGGTCACAGTCAGTGGTGGTCAAGTCTTACTTCTGGCTCTTTACTCAGGGATCATTCCGGGTGGGGCTCAGGGAAACCATAAGTGGTGACAGGAATTGGACCTAGGTCAGCTGTATGCAAGTACCTTATCCACTGTAATATCTCTCCTGTCCCTGAAATCTACATGGATCTTACCTCCTAACCTCCTCCAAACAAAACAGTTATAACAGACACACACACACACACACACACACACACACACACACACACACACACATTCATTCTCACTGTGACTCTAACCTGTGCTTTATTAGTGAAAATAAAAATTTTTTAAATGGTGATAAGGACCAAATTCAGGGGCTCCTCACACAGGCAAACCATCAACTCACCACTGAGCTAAATCACCACTCAGACATATTCTTCTAAAGTACCTCTAACTAATTTCATCCTAACTTCGGCCAGAGAGAGGTTCCTGAAACACCTCTCATGTCGTATCAGTTCTGTGCTCAGGAAACAACAGTGGTTCCTCATTGTGACCCGTACACTAAGCAAAAATTTTTTGCATCCTCTTTAGCATGTGACATGTGCATCATCCTGAAAGTTACTTCACTAATTTCTTTCTCCATTTCCTGAATGCAAAGTGGGATAAAAACAAAATAATAAAACAAAAATATTATAAGACTGCTATAAAAATACAAACCACATTCATAAGTGATAGTTTCTGGCACTCAACAAACTTATTACTACTGTTACTTTTTTTGTTGTTGGTGGTGTGATGCTAGATCAAACCTGGGGTCCTACACATACAAGATATTGTTGAGCCACACATCAATCAGGTCCTTAATCAGAGCGTTTGAAAGAGAAGCATATGTTGCCTTTTCGGCAGATCTGAGTGTTGGGGTAATATCCCAAATAATAATGGTGGGTGTGGTGTCAAAATGTAGAATGTAATCAAAATATAGAGAGAGTGATGTGGAAATCATCTGCCCTACAGCTAGAGGGAGTGTGTGGGATGGGGGTACACTGGGGATTTTGGTGATGGATAATGGGCACTGGTGAAGGTATGGGTGTTTCATTGTATGACCGAGACTTAAACCCGAAAGCTTGGTAACTGTTCTCACGGTGATTCAATAAATAAAATTATAAAAAATGGAAAAAAAAAGTAAGGTGGAGTTTATGCACAATTCAATCAGTCTAGTCAGTGGCTGAATAAATAGCAGTACTCCATTAAAAAAAAAGAGAAGTATAAAATAGTGATAATGGTATTACTGTAAATAAAATGTATTAATGAGAAATTCATACAGGGCACACAACAGATACTACCTCAATTTTCTAAAAAGCACTTTCATATATGTTATTAAAATTTTGATTATAGATGCTATTTCTTATTTCAGTAGCATAATAAATTTTCCTTTTTGTTCTTTACTGGTTTCTTTTTGGGTCACATCCAGCTATATTCAGGGGTTACTTCTGACTCTGTGCTCAACGATCGCTCCTGGTGGGACTTAGGGATCATATGGGATGCTGGGGATCGAACACGGGTCAGCCGTGTGCAAGGTAAGCACCTTACCCACTGTACTATCTCCCTAGACACCAATCAAGCACTTTGATGGAATAAATAAAAGTATTAATTTTAATACTGCAATGAGGAAGATAACAGTAATGAACATTCTTATGACAGCTATATGCAGGCGCTACTCCAAGTGCTATATATAAACTCATTTATTTAAAACTTATTTTTAATATCAAAAAACTATTTTGGGGGGAAAGGATGTCGGAGCCCAAAAATCACCAGTCCTCAGCACTTACTCCTGGCTCTGAGCTTAAAGATCACTCCTGATAAGGCTCAAAGGGACCATATGTGGTATCGGGTACTGAACCCTGGTGGGCTGCATGCAAACCAAGTGCAATCGTTCTAGCTCCTTTAAATTGTTTTTGTACTGAGGCTTGAACCAAAGTTTTGTGCATAAAAAGCATGTACTTTATTTATTTAATACTGAGCTACATCTCTTTGCCTCATGTCATTTTTAAAGAAATCTTAAAGTAGTTCCTTTTAATTGTTTCTATTTTGCAGATGAAAGATCTGAGTCTGCAAGAGTCTTAAATTACTTATACAATTAGCTAAATAGCAGAGTGCGAGGTTATTAATACCTCTCAAAATGCTGTAAGACATGGTAGCTAATTTTTAAATTTAAGTTAACCTATTTCATTTTCTATAAATTCTTTTCAGTATGGTTTATCACAACTTGCAAAAATAATTCAAAGATAAAACTTTTACATAAAATCACATTATCTCACATGTGAATACTTGTATATTATGAATAAGAGTACCTCTCTTAACCTCAAAGTGTGATCTATACCTGAAAATAGAAATTTCCACAAATCTGTGTTCATATGATCTGTTATCTTGAAGACTGCTCTTAGTTTGACTAATTTTCACCACTAAATTGCCAGTGGGCACAACTGGGAAAATACCATCTACTCTATCATTAGATTTCTAATTATAAGAAGCAGTAAGTAACAATGGAAATGTGGTGACTATTATCTCTGTGATACAGGAAAAGGGGGAGAACAGCCAGCTGAGATGTCAACTAAACAAACTACAATGATAATCAAACCTGTATCTTCTCCAAAACTGTGATTCCTTCTCTATGTTTAGTAATAATGAAATGGCATCCTCAACACCCCGTTATTCAAGGCACCATTCTTAAGCTGCTACTTCCTCAATAACAAATTACCAGCGATTTCCTCAATGACTGATTATACTTCCTTAACAACAAATTATAAGCCATTTCCTCAATAATTGATTATAAGAATATCCCAATCAGAAGTAAACTCGAAGTCTGTTGCAGAAATGCCTCTTAAATTAATTCCTTAATCTCAATTCCACTGATACATTTCTCATTTATTTTAGAAATTCCTTAGAAAAGTCACACTTAGTACAATGGAGAAATGAAGCTATGTACAGATGCTAAATTATTTAAAGTTGAGATGGAAAAGTTAAAAGGATTCAATGACAGAAAGTACCAATCATTCAGGAGGCATTTATTTCTAAAAATTTTGACTTACGGAATTAAACCGATACAGGTCTTAGATTCAACAGTGCTAGGGTCAAGCAATCCCTAGCACTGTTGTTTAAAAAAAAAAAACCTAACTGAAGTAGCTGTCTTCAGTTAATTAAACAAACAAACAAATAACTAATCTGATATTTGATAAAGGCAATATGGGGATATTGCCCATCAAGAGATATAAGCTAAATTTGAAAGAAAGACTATACCTTATGTATTCATGTAAAAATAGGTGGCACTGATAACAGCTCTGCAGGTAATATTTTTTTGGAGGGAAGGAGATGGATGAAGGTCACACTTGGCAGTAGCTAGGGCTTAATCCCTACGGTGCTTGGGTAATCAGATGCAGTGCCAGAGGTCAAAGGATTGGCTATCTGCAAGGCAAACACCTTACTTCCTGTACTATCTTTTCTGCCCTACAAGGAACACACACACAGACACACACAGACACATACACACACAACCTCTCCTTTCAAAACACTGGGATCTATACATAAAAATATAAACTTTACAAAATTATGCTTGAGCCACAGACACCCAAGTTCAAATGATCAGAAATGTAATCAAGAAAAGTCAAGAATTGGGGGATAGAGTGATAACACAGTGGGTTGGGTGTTTGCCTTGCATGCAGGCAATCCAGATTCAGTCCCTGGCACTCAGTATGGTCCCTTATGGTCCCCTGAGCCCGCCAGGAGTGATCCCTGTGCACCACACAGGGTGTGCCCCCCAAACCAAAAGAAAGATGAAGAAAAAAAAGTCAAGAGCAAAGAACACAAGGCCATGCCAAAAACCATTTGTGAGACAGTTCATAAGGTCTGTTTAGTGTTAGTCCAAATTCAGAAAGGCATCACTATGAAATGTTTACATATGCAATCCATTTCTTGTTATTCTGTTAAGTATAATGTAAACTGTTTCACACACAATTATGTAACTAACAATTACAAATAAATGAGAGCAAGAGGTCAGAAAAATGCTAGACAGAGAAACATGTGTATACATTAGTTATAATATGTACAATCTAGAAGAGAAAAACACAAATATAATATGAATGTATGTACAGTAGAAAGTACTTGAGATTAAAGAGAAGGAAATTTAAGCATATACTACCATTTCAACTGTTCTAAGTCCTAACTTAGAATTCTGTTTAGAACACCAAAGAAAATTCCTAGAATGTAGATATATATTCAATAACTCAGAATATTTTTTAAAAATGTCAAGTATTTTTAAGGAAAATAAATTATTACATTAAGAAAAAAAATCTTGCATTTGATTACCTTTTCTAACTTTTTGGCTTCAATGTGTCGTAGTACTTGTTCTCGCCAATCATGAGGAACTTTACTTTTTCCTTGAGGATCTAATAAAGAATGCTCAGAACCAACCCTTGCATTTGGTCTTTTTGAAGGACTAGTCCGTGAATAATTAAAATCACTAACTGACATAGTTCTCTCTGGTATTTCATTCACAGAGGGTCGAGCACTCTGAGGCCTTGACGCATTTGGGCCATCAATGCTATATGTGCGTGCAGAGAGAGGTCTCTGTGATCCTGACATCATTGGAGTAGTTTTTCCCGCTGAATGCAGCTCTCTGTATGATAAATACTCCCCTTCAGGAATTTGGGCCCTCCGTGTGGAACCTGGCTCACAAAGATTTACAGAGGCTGTAGATGACACACTACTTTGTCGCTGAATCGTAGCTCGAGTTGCTCCAGGAACAAGTCGATCATTTGGTGACACGGCCCACATTTCCCCATGTCTTCCTGGGCCAATTCTCTGATGTAAATGATAGCCAGGATTAGCTCGAACATTATTATGGTTAGAGAAATTCATGTTGGCAGAAAACTTAGCATAACTATGATTTTCAGTGCTTTCTGACCTAGGAAGATGCTGAGGAAAACCAACATCCACTTGGGGATTTTGTTTGGAGTGCCACAAATTGTCCTTGACTGTTGCACTGCTACTGTACTGGATGTTATATTGCGGAGGACCATATATTTGAGGTATGGACTGTGGGCCACTTGTTGTGGAGCCTCTTAGTATATTTGGTTCCTCAGGATTATGATTTGAATCAAACTTGAAAACTGCCTTTGTACCTGATAATAAATCAGAAGATGAAGAAGAACCAGTAAATACTTGCAATGGTTGATCATACAAGAGTGTAGCGGACTTGCTCCTGACTATATTTTTTCCATCAATATTAGATGTTACTTTAACTGTGGCACTTGATGGCTGAGGTCCATTATCACTAAGAATGTCATAGATTTTTAGTCCTCCAGTCTCCATATTAGTTATGCTATGTGATTTCACAACAGATATAATTGTTCCACCTCTTTGTGGGGAGAGATCTTCAGTGCTTTTGGAAATACCCACTTCAACAGAAGAATCAGTGTCATGTGGTTCAGTCCTCCTGGGATGCTGTGAAGTTTCTGAATGTCCATTAATCTTATTCACACATTCCAGGTTAGGATATTCATTACCATTTTCCAAGCGTTCCGTTTCTCCTTTAGCACTTATGTTTAAAAAGCCTGTTCCAAGCATTGCATCCTGTGTCTTTGATCTTTCGACTATCTCTGGTTGGAAAGTATCATTAATTACAAGTTTATTAAGATTCATATTAATATGGTCCAATTTGTGAGATTCATTAGTTGTGGCTGTTGAATCAACACTCTTCTCAAGAAGAACTAATCGTTCTTCAATATTCAAATCATATTCTCTTAACTTAAAATCCTTTTTGTCATGAACCTTAAACTTCTCCTCTGTTGAATGGTTTAAAATATCTCCATTTTGTAAAAGACTGTTGAAATTTTCATCTTCTTGCCTAAAACAAAGGAAGTTTAATCAAGAAATAGTATTAATTTGACTTTCTCACTAACAGAAAACTAGTTTAGTTTACACGTAGGTACACAAAATTATGAATTGATAAAAGTTCATGATGAAATGCAGGGACCAAAAAGATAGTACAGTGGGCAGGGCACTTGCCTTGCATACAGCCAGTGTGGGTTTGATCCCTGGCACCTCATATAGTCCCCTAAGCGCCACTACAAGTGATTCCTGAGCAGAGTCAGGAGTAAGACTCGAGCACAGCCAAATGTAGTTCAAAAAATTCCAGGGCTGGGGTAAAACTTAGCAGAACAAAAACTTGGCATATACAAGGTCTTGAATGCAATCCTGGTCATTTCTTCCAAATACAAAAAATTTAATTCTATGCTACGGATACGGGCAAAAATAAGAAGCATTCCAGTAAACCATTTAAAGGCACATCCCCCACACAACCTCCTTACCCACAAATATTATTTCTAACTCTAAAACTGCTCCCCTTTCAAACCTAATGGGATAGCGCAGTAACTTAGAGCTCCCGCCCTGCAAAAGTAATGTCAGGAATTCAAATCCCCAGTGTCCTGGTGTGATCCATGCAGCTCTGTGGTTTTAGCCTGGCAGTGCTGCAAGCGATTTTTGGCTGTACTGTAGCCAGATGTGTATAATCAACACAAAAGGGGTACCACCCCTGGTGAGCACTATCACTAAAAAGATGTCTGAGCAAAGCCAGGCAGTAAGACCTCTATCAAGCATGTGCGTGACCGTAGTAATCTCTGCAAACACCACAATACTAACTTGTATCCTTCAACTGAGTGTGTGAACTCTGGGGAAAATGTGTGCACGCACTGCAAAAAGAAGTATGGGCCTTGGCAAGCATTAAAGCTAAGTATGGAAGCACGTGATCTGCTTGTGTAATCACCAGAGAAGTAGCACTGTGAAAAAATGTGGGAACACCAGTCAGTCCTGTGTGCAAGATCTAGTCCCTGCAACAACTATCACAAAAGAAGGGAATGGGGTATGTAGGGAGGTAAAAATCTAAATAAATGAATGTGTTGTAGGGTTTGGGGGATGTGCGTCTAAAAAATATTTTTTTAACCAAAAAAACTTTTAACAACAAAAAACTAAAAATACCTTCCTTTCATTTTAAATTACTCCAAATAGGCTGCTTGTTATAGTATCTTGATATATAAAATTGTTTATTGAAGAGAATTAGATATATTTGATCTTTTCTCCCACTTTTATCTTTTATTATTATTTTAGTTTGGGGGCTATACCTGGCAGTGCTCAGGGTTTTCTACAGGCCCTGTGTTCAGGGATCACTCCTGGTGGGGTTCAGGAACCAAATGGGCTGCCAGGGATTGAAGCTGGGTCATCTGGCTATAGGGCAAGAGCCCTACTCACCGTATTATTGCTTGGGCCCCTGATTTAAATTCTTTAATTATCATAAACCACAAAGATTATTTTATCCCCTCTCTTTTTTGTTTATGAACCATATCCAAAACTCTTTGCACAGGGGCTGCTGCTGGAAGTTTGTGGAGAATCATGGGTTTCTGAGGATCAAACTGGCCTTCTACAGGGAATGTATGCAGAGTAAGCATCCTACCCATTGTAATATCTCTCCAGCCCCCTTTTTACCTCTTTTAAAAAAGACTAATATTAACTGTAATTAGGCAAAGGCTAGTTAAAACAAGTCTTGAGCATTGACGGTGTGACCCCCTCCCTACCTCCATCACAAAATAACCTCCTAAACCAATCAATTATTTTGTTCTAATGTTCACAAACCTGATTTTGGAATTAATACCAATATGAGTTTGTTTCACTGGAGAGCAGAGTGAGGTATCTTGACTACTATCAGTATTCAGAGAAACTGAATCAGACATCCGAGATGGAGAAGAACAGTTGCTGTTATTTTGGTTGCTATTGTGTGTTACTTCATCTGATAAAGAATCAGAATCTTTTATATCATCTGAAACAAAAAAATTAACCCATTAAAAATTCATCAAGAATCTGTATAAAATATTTTCCAGTTGTTACAAATGGTGTCTGTATTGTCCTAGTTCAGTATCAAAGGTAAAAATTAGATAGTACAGCACGGAGAGTGCTTGCATTGCATGTAGCCAACCTGGGTTCAATTCCCGGCAACCCATATGGTCCCTGAGCACAGCCAGAAGTCATTCCTGAGTAGAGCCAGGAGTAATACCTGAGCATTGCCAAGTGTGGATCTGCACCCCCACCCCAAATTAAAATACAATTTACTTCCAGTATGTGAAAAGATAAAGCAATGATTTTTCTTCCTGGTCTTTTTTTTCTGGGCCACACCTGACAGTGCTCAGGACACACTCCAAGCTCTAAGCTCGGGGATCACTCTAGGCAATGTGCCCCTCCCCCCAAAAAATAGCTCTTTAAAAAATAGACTTTAAAAATGTTTTTTGGGGGCTGGAGTGATAGTGCAGCGGGAAGGGCGTTTGCCTTGCATGCAGTCAACGTGGGTTCGATTCCCAGCATCCCATATGGTTCTCTGAGCATTGCCAGGAGTGATTCCTGAGTGCAAAGCCAGGAGTGATTCCTGAGTGCAAAGCCAGGAGTAACCCCTGAGCATCGCCAGGTGTGACCCAAAAAGCAATTAATTTTGCAGTTAAGGCTGCAGTTAATCTTGGATGCATGCAAGGCTGAATAGACTAGGGTAAATTATAAGAGAGCAGGTAAGCCTGGTGCACGCAAGCAGAATCCTTGGAGCCGCTTGCTCCCACAACCCAAAATCACTACATGCCCCTGGCTGGACCCCGTCTTTGGACAGATATCACCAAGATATAAACTGCTGAAAATTCGGGTATGTGCGTTTTGTGACTGAAATCTCCAGGCCTTCTCTGGGTTGGGATGAGCTACCCAACCCCATACCCCTTCCCTGTACTTCTGGAAGCCTCAGCAGTTACGTCCACACCCCAAAGATGCTACCCAGTTAAAAAAAGCTACTGCAACCATATGATAAAAATACTGAACACCCTGAACAAACAGGATAAACTCTTAGCAGCTGTATTGCAAACCATAATGCACAAAAGGATAGAGAGAAAGAAGGATGGTGCCCGTCATAGAAGCAGGCTGGAGGGATGAGTGTTGGATCATTGTATAAATAAAACCCCATCATGTACAGCTTTCTATGGTATATCTCATGGTGATTCAATAAAAAATTCAAATACATAATAAAAACCTTTTTTGGGGGGGAGGGGTGGGTTTGTTTTAGGGCTGTACCCAGCATTGCTCACAGCTTACTCCTGGCACTGTGCCCAGGGATCAATCATAGAGGGGTTCCGGGGACCATATGGGGTGTTGGGGATTCAAACCTGGCAGAGCTGCATGCAAGGCAAGTACCTTACCTGCCATACTATCTCTCAGGCACCTAAAACAGCACATTTTAAAACTTGTTTCTAATATCTGCTAACAAGAGATAGTTAATGAAATCCACTCCCCTCACCCACAAGCTGTAAATTTCGTTCTGCCCATTTTCAGTCTCAGTGTATTCTTTTAATGCCTAACCTTTTTTGTTATTACTAAGTGCTACCACTTTTGGCTGGTTAATAGAGGTTTCAATTAATGGCGGTCGCATCTCTGCCATTTTCATTTCTTCATCAGAAGAAAGTTCTTCAGATTCCTAATTTGAAGGAAAAAGAAAATACTTTTAAAACTGAATTTTAATTTAACTATTAAGTTATACAAACTTCAAAGAAGATTATCTAGAATGTAAATGAAAGCAGTGCATAAGAACATGTGGCTAAAACTAGTATAAGATTTAAGTTTTTCAAAATATGGCAATAGAACTATGGCAATTATTAGCAATATGTCAAAGACCCAATACATATGTATTAATGACTATTATGTCCCTGGTACTATGTCAAACGCCAGAGAAGCAAAATAAATAAAACATTCAGCTTAATGAAGGTGCTCAAGTCACATCCTAATTCTCAAATTAAGGCCCCTCAAGAATCACACAGGATTCGAAGGAGTCAGAAGGATTATTCATTACAATGAACTAATGGAAATTCTTGCCCAAATTAGAAATCAGTCTATTTGCCATATTTTTTCCCCCAAAATTTGGCAACTGAACCAGATTATCCACCAATAAGTTCTGTTAGCAAAAATAAAATGAAAAATAAAAAGTGGGCTGTCCCTGCCACAGAGGCAGGGTGGGATGGGGGGATAGGGGGCGGGAGAGATACTGGGATCAGTGGTGGTGGAAAATGGGCACTGGTGGAGGGATGGTTATTCAATCATTGTATAACTGAAACCCAAGCATAAAAATTTGAAAGCCTACAACTGTACCTCATGGTGTTTCACTAATAAAATTTTTTTTAAAAAGCCTGTATTATAGACATCATAAGTTGTAGCATGTTATTAGAAAATAATAATTATTGATGTTTTATCTAAAAAAAAAAGTGGGCAGTGAAGATCAGAGAAGGGTTAGACCTGTATCTAACCCAAAATTCCATCCCAGGCACGGCATGATCCTCTGAGCATCACCAGGTGTGGCCCTAGAGGCCCCTGTGAGCACTGCAGAACCTGAGCAGCACTGCATCCTCAGGTCCTGGCTGGCTGGGCATTTCTGAAGTGTGGTCCTTGGGCTTCCTTCGGTACTGTCTAGGAGGTGCCCTCCAAACAAAACAAAACAAGACAAAAAAAACCTCAAGATGTCTGGTGGTCAACATACACTAATATAATATTGACACTGTAGATACTGCTCATAAACAAATCAGTTTCAGGCTACATTATTCCTAGTATATGATGAAAAGAAACAGTAGTGGGAGGGGGAAAAATGGTCTTTAAAGGCCATTAGAGAAAGAATCCAGCCTGTCAGGAGAGACCCTTGAGGGCAGAGCCAGGAGTAAGCCCTGTGCACCATCAGGTGTGGCCCCAAAACAAAAGCAAATAAAAATAATAAAAATGATGAATAATACCAGGAAATCATAAAAAACTTTTGAATGGTGAATGCATTAGTTTATTTCTGTTTCTTTCAGTATCAGGCATCTCCAAAATTTAGTGATCAGCAATAAAATATCATTCTTTATCAGTTGCTCCATGTTCCAGAACAGCCCTGACTCTGAACCATACCTCAAACACATCAGGATGATTAACAGCATGCTTTGAGTTCTCAGAGGCTTTCATATTTGTAGTCACTGGGAGTTTACCAGGACCGATCTCAGCTTCAGGCTCCCTGGTTTTCTGCACAGAGTTTGCTATCAGATACTTTTCTCTTTCATCAGGTTTGTTTCTTACTGTAGCAGTATTTTCTGAAGTCTGAGTAAAAGATAATTCACAGTTCTTAAGCTTTAGTTATATCTATGTTGGTATTAAAGTGAATATAAAATTTTTCAAATCAATTTAATCATCCTATGTGGATAAATAAAGGACATTTTAAGCATGAAAATCAACCCAAAATCAAAATGTTCCCTTTGAGAACAGGCAATCCTGAAAGGTCCACAAAACACTTTAACTTAAAAATTTAGATGAGGCAACATTTTGTTTTTGAATATACAAAGATGGCACAAATGAATTAAGACTAAAGCACATAATGCTCAAACGCAGAATGGTTCTAGTATTTTTGTTCATTGTGGAATGTACAGTAACTAATTTTATTAGTTACTAGAAAGTAACGTATACAAGCAATCCCTTCCCTTTCTATGGAGCCAATCTGAGGAATAGGTGGTGTGTAATAAGAATACATCTGAAATGAGAGTATTTATTAAATATTATCAGGGAGAAAATGGTTTCATAAATTACAAGCATTATAATTACTAACATTCAGTATCTTATTTTCTGTTCAGGCAAAAATTTTTTAAAAGCTTTCCTGAACATGTAGACATTCTATAAATGTAATAATAATTAACTAGTACAGGAAATTGAGAATCAGACCATAAATTTAATTATTAATTAATCAGACCATAAATTTAACCATAAATTTAGTACATTTTAGTTATACAAAAAGCATTATTTCAATTATTTAAAACTTTTAAAGAAATTAAAATAAGCTTTGGTAAATTCTTTTTGAATTGAGTTTTCCAACCTTTATGCCCACATCATTATTTATAACTTGCTGATCTTCATGTGGTTTCAAATCTTTGCCAGAATCTTCATTAGTTTCTTCATCTTTTAATCTATGTACAATGGTTTGAACAGTTTTGACCATATTTTTAAGCTCATCTGGGTATGGTGTTGGATATCTCTTTAAATTTCCTTCCTAGAGAAATAAAATAAGTGAAATTTAAAAACAGGACTATTTCTAACACCAATTTTAAGATTTATCTATAATCCATTGTAAACCTGGCATGTAGGGATAATGGTGAAGACATGTGACAAGATGCTGAAAACATTTTAGATTTGATAAAAAGAATTAGTTGAACAATATGTAAAAACTTCAGTTTACAGATTTTGATGTTTTCAAATATTTTAAAAGCAAACCTAAATAATCCATTTGTAGATATGTATCGTGAATATCGCTATATTATCAACAAGCTTTAAATAGATATTAAGTTTTCTAGCTAGCTACTTCACTTAATTACATAAAAAGTTTCCACATTTATTACCCTATCTTATATTTCAGGAACCAAACTCTTTGGTGATAAGTCTAACTGCTGACTTACTTATTTCTAGAAGGGAAAATAACTACAACCATAACTTGGCAAGGGGAATTTGCTATTTCTAATCACTGTGATACACATTCTCAATCCCATAAAGAAAAGAAGTTCTTTTTTTCCCTAGAGTATACAGAAGTAGACAACTGAAAGGACAAAAACAACATTTCCCTCATATTTATATGTACTTTGCAATTTTTTTTTTTTTGATTTTTAGGTCACACCCAATGATGCTCAGGAGTTACTCCTGGCTCTGCGCTCAGGAATCACTCCTGGCGGTGCTCAGGGGACCATATGGGCTGCTGGGACTCGAACCCAGGTCGGCTGCATTCAAGGCAAATGCCCTACCTGCTGTGCTATCGCTCCAGCCCCGCAGAGTTCTTTAACTGTCTTTATATTACTCTCAAATTCTTTCTTCACTAATAAAGCCTCAAGTGGCTTGAGAGCAAGTAAATCAATGAATACTTCTCTGTACTCCTCCAAAGAGCACCTACTGGTATGTAGTAATGAATACAACGAACCCATTTAAAGGTTAAAGCAAGAACAGGCTCACCCTGGGAGGTGCCTCCCTTTCATCTTTGTCTTCATCACATTCAAATGCTACTTGAGCACGCTGTTTCCTCTGCTCCTCCCACAACGAAGGATTGAAACTTTCATTATCTGATATGAACATAACTAGAGAAAAAAAGTTCAGTATATTTTATTGTAATTGTGAAAAAACTATTACTTGCTCATGATTTTCTCTCTCTCCCTCCTTCTTTTCTTTCTCCTCCCCCTCCCCCTTTTGCTCTCCTTTTCTTTCTCTTTCATTTTGGAGGGCAAAAAAGTGTACAGGAATTAATCCTGGTGGCTCTTGGAACCTCATGGGAGGCTTAGAACTAAACCAGAATCAGCTGGGTATAGACAACTGCCCAACCCACTGGACGATCTCTCCAGCCCATTGCTTATAATTTTCTTCAGGAGTTTATTAAGTCATAACTGGTTGATGCTAGTAGCAACTATAAATTCTACACTATCAATTAGACTCTCATATCTTTAAAAAAACCACACAAGCAAACAATAGCGATTAAGTATCTTTTTGTGATGTTATTTTGTCTCGCTATTGGAAGGGCTCCTAAAAAGAATCTACCAATTAAAATATGTATTGGATTTCAGCAGGTATCTATAAAAAGTATAAACCGTTTTATATAGATTTATTGCTTCTAAGTTTTTACATTCAGAAATACGATTTAATTTTAATTTACTCAATATGCTCTGGGAAAAGGGAGAAATTTATAAGAGAATGAAAGAAATACTTTGCCAAAAATTACTATAACGCTATGAAATTGTATCACTGCATTAAGTATGACCCATAATTATACCAAGTAAATAAAGTAAAAGTTGTTTGCCCCCTTCCCACAGTCTGCCCTACCCGCTAAACTACTGCTCCAGCCCTGGCCAGCACAAGTGATCACTGAGCACAGGGCCAGGAGCAAATCTTTAGCGTCACTGGGTATGGCCTAAAACCAACAAAGAAGATTTATCAGTTTCAGAAAGACAGTACAAGAACTTAAAGTAGAAAATATAAGCTACATTTTACACACGTCCTGTGAAATAAACATCAGAAGCAATTTGTTCCTTGGTCTAAAGAGCTTTCTGCTTTAATTGTTGAAAATCACTTGTAATTATTACAGTCAGAGCTCAAAAGATTAGTGTGTAGATTCCAGGGCAGAATTACACCTACAATAATAAAAGGGAACAAAATGTTTCCTTGCCAAGTTGTCCTAAGTCTGTCCACAGAGGCAGGCTGGGGGAGGCGGTTGTTGGCTAAGGGAGGCTGGGACTTTAGTGGTAGGAAATGTACACTGATGAAGGGACTTGCGTTAGAACTTTCTCTAGTTTGACTGAACTTTGACTGAAATCCAATCATGAACAAATTTGTAACTGTGCTTCTAACAGTGATTTAATTAAAAAATAAAAAAAAAGTTTTGAAAACTGAGGTGTTCTCTCATTTCTCCATTTTGAGAGAACCTGACAGAGCAATTTCATAAATCCCAAGTCTCTGAGACTTAAAATTCACTTTAGACCTTTGCTATAAACTGTCACTGACTTGGTTTTAAGAAACAAAAGAAAACCTTAAGTTCCTACCATCTTCAGTCCTTGGCTGCTGAGGGAACATGTAGTTAGTAAGCACCATTTTCTGGGTCTCTGAATCAGTCTCTTTTTGAAGAGGTATCAGGGGTTTAGACTAGGAAAAAAAATAAGTGTTTAATAATTGTAAAGCAATTCCTTAAAGTACTCAGCATTATTTCTAGAAAGAATATGTAATAGTTATAAAAACAAATTTGAACATACAACATCAAATTTGGAAAGAACTTATTCGAAACCTTATAATCTTAAAGTTAAAACTCAAAGAGTTGAGGGCTGGAGAAACAGCACAGAGGTTAGGGCCTCAAATCCTTTTTCCATTCCCGGAACGACATATGATGAACACAGAGCCAATATGTACTCCTGCCCCAAACTCCCCAAACTTGGTTTTAGTATAGGAGGAAAAATTTGTCCAGGGTTTGCAACTGGCACTTATTATCAATAGTTTTAAAAGCTCACACGTTCTAAAACACACCTGTAGTCCAGTAGTTACTTGTAATGATTTAATAAAGATGTAAGTTTTTGCATTTTGTGCAATTTGTCTCCTCTAGTGTTTCCCTTTGGAAAGATACTTTTGTAGAAAGGCTCAGAAAGTTGACTCTAGTGGTAGTTTTATTGGAAAATGATAGGACTTAAACAACCAAATTACAACCTTTTTCTCTTTTGTCTCCTGTCTCCAATAACAACTCAATAAAAATTTTTTGGTAGTGGAAAGAAAACTCCAGTTTCTCACATTTGGGAAACTAGAGAATAGTTTATCCAAACTTTGAGAAAATACAGCTTTACGTAACTATAACACTGCTTTAAATAAAAAACCAAGTACTAATTTGTATTTTTAAAATCAACAAGCTGTGTATTTTAAAAAACAATTTAGGGGCCAGAGAGATGGTACAGTGGGTAGGACATCTCTCTTGCATATTGGCAACCTGAGTTTGATTCCTAGCACTCTCCATATGCATTGTTCCCTGTGCCCACAGGAGTAATCTCTAAGAACAGAGCCAGGACGAAACCCTGGGCACAGTTGGTATGGTCCTGAAAACCCTCCCCCACCCCAATTTTTTTTAATTAAAAAAATCAAAAATCCATTTACTTTGCCAGCGAGAGACAATAGTGTTTTAGGTGCATAACTTGCACACAGCTAATACTAACTCAATCTCTGTCAACACATCGTCCCCAACGCATCGTTGAAGGCAGGTTCCAGAGCACTCTGGGGTGGAAGGGCAATCCCCAGCACCACTGTGTCCTCGAGCCTTCACAATGAAATTCTCCCCTCCCCTCCCCTCCCCTCTCCTCTCCTCTCCTCTTCTCTTTTCTTTGTGGTGCCAGTGATTGAACCCAGGCACCACAAACATAAGGCACATACTCTACCTCTGAAATAACATCCCTGGCTCAAGTTTCCAATTTTGAAAGGTCAAAATCATACTCTGAGCTATTCTGGGGGGTGGGGGTCACGCCACATCTGGTGCTATTAGGGAACTGGAGTCAATTCTGGTGATGCTCGCGGGATGATGTAAAGCTGAGGACCAAACCTGTGTTTTCCACATGCAAATCCTTTGAGCCATCCTCTAGCTCCTCAATTATTAACTTTATCCCCACTTAACTTCTCTATTTTTCCTAGCTCAGAAATAGCAATACCAATTATTTTCTTCCAAGGTGAAAGCCAAAAAGTCATACTTGCTTTTTTGCTCTTATTCTTTCTCTCAAATGCCACTTCCAGTACATTTAACTCCCATTAGAAATACAACTCCCATTAAAACATACACAAAATCTAAACTATTTCTACTAGAAGAAGCCCAGCAATATTTATTTCTGTAAAACTACAACAGTCTCCTTACTGAACTTCTCTGCTTCCAATATAGAATATTTTACCTGTATTCTAAGTACCAAGAATCCATTTCACACACAATAATCAGGACAATCTTTTAAAAATGAAATTAGATCTTGTTATTTTCTGGCTTAAAATATCTCAACAGATTTATATCTAAGAGAAAAGTCCCAAGGGACTGGTATGGCTAATAAGGTCCTAAATGCGGTAGTTTCAATTCTCTCCCTTAATATACTGCTCAATAAGTTCATTCCTTTTTAATATTAGGTTCTTTATTGATATTACATTTCACTAGTAGAATCTTTACTGAGTGGCAGAAGTCACTGTCACTGTTCTCCTGTTGTTCATCGATTTGCTTGAGTGGGCCCAGTAACGCCTCCATCGTGAGACTCATTCTTACTATGTTTGGCATATTGAATGCGTCCCGGGTAGCTTGCCAGGTTTTGCCGTGCGGGCAAGATACTCTCGGTAGCTTGGAGGGGCGGAGGAACCGAACCAGGCTCAGCCGGGCTGGCTCACTGGGCTGGCTGCACGCAAGGCAAACACCCTACCGCTGTGCTATCGCTCCAGCCCAGTGGCAGAAGTACATTTACAATAATTTACAATAATTTTTTAAAAACACCTTTTTGGGTCACACCGAGAGATGTTCAGGGATCAGGAATTCCTCCTGGTGGTACTCGGGGGATCATAAGTTATGCTGAAGATCAAACCCAGGTCTAACACGTGCAAGGCAAGCACCCTATCCAACTCTACTATGCTCCAGCCCCAAACAGGGTCTTTACTGAGTATTTAAATAATCTGCCTCATCCAACTCAACCCAGTATATGCAGCTCACGTTAATTTCATTTGGAATCTGCTCTTCTGCTGCATTCTTCAGAGGATTTCCTAAATCACCGTATTTTAAAACAGGATGCTGGGTTCAGAATGGGTGGAATGCTTGCATTGCATAAGCCCTATCTGGGTTGATCCCTGGTACTCCATACGGTTCCCAAGCACTGTCTCAGTGATCTCTGAATACAAAGCCAGAAGTACTGCCAGATGTAACCCAAACTCCAAAAAACCAAACCAAAACCAAAATAAAAAAAAAATAAACAACAGGATGCTTATTATAACCTTGTTATTCTTCTGATTTTTTCTTTGTAGCTCTGACACATTATACATATTGGCTATGGCTGTCATGAGAATATAAGCTCAATGAGAATATGAACATTCTATTTGCTTCTCCAATGTATCTCCTAGAGCTGTTAGCTCCAGAGCTTTTAGTTCATGTTATAAGTCTTCATAAATGATCTATGAAACCTTTCTGAGCACCACCAAGTGCAGCTCAAATCAAAGAAACCAAAAATTACAGCTGGAGGTACCAAAGAAAGTCCAAGAAAAAACTTTTAATTCCTTATAAATGCTTCTTTGTGACCTGTCAAAGTGTCCCACTACAAGTGTAATTTAAATTAACTTACCAAATATCAACAGATGTATTTGATAAAGACACAAAAACTTACAAAAAGTAATACTGATTAAATCTCATTGCCTAGTCTATAATTTTTTAAGAAAAAATTTAAAAGAAGTTAGATAATTTCAAAAGGATTTATTTATGAACCTATGCACAGTTACAAAAAACCAACATTTAATTCTTTAAAATATTTTTGATATTTCTACTACAATTTTACATATATACCAAGAGTACATTTGCTCTTCTAAGAACCTATGCAAATATATAATCTAATAGTAGTAAGTCAATTTCAGTAATTTACAAAATTAGAATACCCACCTGATTATCTGAGAGCCACATAGCAGTCAATTGCTGTAGTTTTGTAAAACTAAAGGGCAAATTCTTTAACCTGTGAAAAAAATAAAACAGAAACGTTAAAATGAGAAATATTAAAATATGAAAGCTAGACTTAATGATTTTCAAATAATATTACATTATTGCATGTGGAAACAATAGAAAATTAAATTAAATTTAGAGGAAAATCCAACATACGTCTTTAAATGGTACATAAACAAAATACTGTCCAGTTTTAAAGAACACAGCATCTAATCAATTCAGTTGAAGGAGAGGGTAGGAGGAGAGAGCACAGCCTACAAACCTCAAAAAATGATCTGCCATGAATAATGCTAACAGTTAACCTTGGGAAAAAAACAATGACAAGCAGGCAGTCTCAGACTACTGCTCTGGAGCAGGAATGCAGCCCAGCAATAGCCCACTCGTCTTGCATGTATAAATCCCTGGGTTGAATATAGGCACCAAAAAAAAAAAAAAAAAAAAAAAAAAAGAAAGAAAAAGTAAAATTGTTTTGGATCAGGTACTCGTATTTTGAAAAAAATTATGTTGTTATTTTGTATTGAGCCAAGATTTCCACTGGACTCAAAGACAATTTTAGTATCACGATACACTCGCTAGAATGCTAAAGTAGAATAGCACTCTACTTAAAGTAAGATGCATCTCAGCAGCAGAGCACATGCCCTATATGCTGATGCCCTGGGTTCAATCCGACACCATAAAATAATTATAATAATGATAAAACAGCAAACGAAAACAAACAACAAAAACATCCCAAACAAACAAATCAGAAAAAGTTCTTATACGCTGTTACTGTTTCAATTTAGCAACCCCAGGAATCCATCTGCTCTGTCCTCTGGCTGAGCTAAGTAATGTTAGCACCTGACCACATCTTTCTTTGCCCAGAAAAATACATGAGATAAATCAAACTAAAAACTGTTTTGTTTAATATTGGTATTATGAAGATCTAACTGTAGGACTGAAAGAGACTGTATAGTTTAAAAAAAAGGCCCTCCCGTTGATCATCGATTTGCTCGAGCGGGCCCAGTAACGTCTCCATTGGAGACTTTGTTGTTACTGTGTCTGGCATATCAAATACTCTCGGTAGCTTGCCGGGCTCTCCGAGAGGGGAGGAGGAATCGAACTCGGGTTGACCATGTTGGCTGTGTGCAAGGCAAATGCCCTACCCGCTGTGCTATCGCTCCAGCCCCGTATAGTTTAAATCAACACAAAGTAAACTGTGACAAAAAGCCAGTATGTTCAATAACATCAGGTAAAATCAGGTGCATTTTCTCATAAAAATTCTTAAAATATATAACTGCACATTAAAAATAAATTTATGATCAAAACTTTAATTTCTCTAATGTCTTCTATACACCAACAGATGAACGTTATTACACACCTATTGTCACTTAAATTAATGACTTTTAGTTTTTGCATATCACCCATTTCCTCTGGAAGTGTCTCAAGTTTATTAGAATGGAGAAATAACACAGTTATATTTTTCCAATTTCCAATCTGAAAGAAAAACATATATATGATGATCAAAATTCTAGCCTATTAATAGAATTAAAATTATTATTTTAAAAAGTTCTACAAATTCTCTTTTATAAAAGATTATATTTTCTTTCTTTTTTATTTTTGCTTTTTGGGTCACACTCGGTGATGCACAGGGGTTACTCCTGGGATGCTGGAATCGAACCTGGGTCGGCTGTGGGCAAGGCAAATGCTCTACCCACTGTACTATTGCTCCAGCACCAAAAGATTATATTTTCAATTATTAATTTCATAGAAAAAATCATCCCCATTCACATCAATATCATTAGTTAACATCCAAAACATAAATATCTTAGTTACATAATTATTTCTGAACAAAACTAAAACTACTCTGGATATCTCAAATAGAGAAAAAAATAACACACAAGCAAATTTAAAATATATTACCTCTGGGGGTAACTGCTGTAAGTAATTATGATCTGCAGCAAAGGTTCTTATATTAGTAAGCTGTCCAATTGATGAAGGCAAAGCTTCAATTTCATTGACGCTACAATCCAGTTCTTCTACTGATACTAGCCTATAATTAAACATTTTGTTAGAGATTCATATGTGAAAACTTAATATGCCAAAACTTAGACTTGACTTAAACCTGGCTGTTTGCTTCTTCTACTGTTACACTTCACCAATAAAAGATAGGCTTCTCTCTCCTTTTTTTGGTATTAATTTTATTCTATTTTCTGTATAATTTTAAGTACATAAAGGTTTATTTCCACAGGCCTCAGTAAATGGGTAGAAGTCACAGGACAATGTCTCTTCCCACCAAAAAATATTGCATATTTGGTAAGTTATGTGTCTCTTTATTATAACTATACCCAAGCAGTAACAATTGCTTATTTAAATATATATGCAATCCCCTTTATATAGCATGCTTAACGAATAGTAAAATTTAATTCTATCAATTCACAAAAACTCACCCTCCTATAGAATCAGGTAGATACATTAGTTGATTTTCATCTATTTTTAGAGTTGTTATATTTTTCAATGAACCTATTGTGGAAGGAAATAATGTAAGTTTTTCCAACTTGAACTACAGGAAAATCAACAGTTAATGTGAGTAACCATGATATTTGACATAAATCATACACCACTTTCTTAACTAGTTGATCTGAAATACTTAACAACATACTCTGTATCCTCTTATCCTGCATTTCTAATTTTACCTACCACTCTCTTTTCTTTCTTTCTGAGTTTGGGAATATGCCTTTTGGTGCTTAGTGGCTACTCCTGTTTCTGTGCTCAGGAGTGACCCCTGGCAGCGTTCAGGAAACCATACAAGGTTTCAGGGATTTGAAGCAGGATTGACTATAGCAGATGCATGCCAGGTAAGTTAAGTGCTTTCCCTCCTGTACTCTTATTTCTTAATTTTAGTGTGCATTTACCTGATTAAGCTTCTCTCAAATGTTAGCATTAGAGAATAGGGAACCTGATGAATTTGTTTCATCTTTATAACCTGCTCCTTAAAATACTATCATGCATGAAACAAAAATACAAACATAGTACTAATAAATTTTAAAAAGGTAGTATTTGTACACCTTTGAAAGTAGACTTCGAAGTTGTACAAATAAATCATTCCATACATTCTATGCACAGCAAATATTAAAACATTAAGATTTTGAGAGAGAAGAAAGCATCTGCCATAGAGGAAGGCTGGAAGGGCGGGAGGGAAGCTGGGGACTGGTGGTGGGAAATGTACACTGGTGAAGGAATGGGTGTTGCAACATTGTATGACTGAAATCCAATCATGAACAACTTTGTGACTGTGTTTCTCAAGGTTATTTAATTAATAAATATCTAATCAAAATTTACATGTGTTGAATAAATTTTCGTAGCACCTATAAAATACAATGTAATTTATGTAATTTACAGCTATGTAACTTAACTTGGTAAAAAAATCAATTGTTTTTTCCTGCTTTTTGCATTTAAACATCTCAATGAAGCCGACATTTAATATGAAGGGTTTCTGTAATAAAAATAACTTAAATCCTAATAAGCAGCTATACAAGCAGTCTCAATTACTAAAATTATCTCAGAGGATTAAAGTATTCTGCTTTTGGTCCTTGAGTCTAAAATGGAGCAGGGCTGAAAAATACTATGGTAAGTATATGATTAAGCAGAAAGTCAAGTTTGGATAAATTAACATTAACATTTTTAATTTCTTACAATTTTATTGGTAACAAAAACGAGTACTTCCTTAGCATGGAAAAAAACTCAATAATGTTAAGAAACTGTTTAAATGGTCACATCAGGAAAAAATTTAATAGCTCTTTGACTGTGACAATACAGTAAAATTATCTTGTAATGGCTGGCCCCAGTCTGATCCCTTGAGCACCAGCAGGTGTGGCAGCATCCCCTCCCCCACAAAAAAGCCACCAATACTCCACCCCCACTCACAAAAACTTATAAACTATATCATAACAAAGTTTGGCATGTCAAAGCGCTAATCAAGAACAACAAAATTTTCTTATTTTGCTTTGGTTTTAATTAATTCTATGAATTAGGAAATAATACAAACCAATAGTCTCAGGCAACTGCTGAAGAGAATTGCTTGACAAGAGGAGATCTTGAAGACTTTCACATGCTGAAATTCCTTCTTCAATCATTTCAATATTATTTTTAGAAACATCCAAATAGGTGAGTTGTTTCAAACTACCGATAAACTGAAAGTTTTTTTTTAAAAAAAGAGAAATATAATGACTGGCCAAATATTAATTAAAAATATATTAGTATGACAAATTAATATACCAACCGCATAATTCATAATTAAATGTTTGAAAAAGAAAATTAAAAATTTATTTCAAAAAGTAGAAATGAATTTGGTAACAGAGATAAGAGTATCTATCAATTCAATCCAACAGACATAGAATGGATACAAAGTTTTCACTGACAATTTATCTGCTAGGAATGTAACATATCTGGGGACTATTGTGGCTTCTTCAGATCTAGAAATGTATGATTATGAGTCACTACTATGACAATGGCAATATAGGAAATATCCTACTTCAATAATGTCCTGAACAAACCCTAAGTCATTAGGGTCTAAAGTGAACTGCAATCCTTAAAAAGGACATAGTTCCCTATTAATAAATGACTTTTAGTCACACCCATGAACCACCTCTGGTGCCATGTAAGCTATCTACCAGCCATGCCAAAGAGACTCATAAATAAATCTCAAAAGAGATCAACAAGTAGCAAAAGACTTTTCTGGACACGCATACAAGTGAGTTGTCAGGGGCACCTTGGAGGGAAGCAGGCTCTGGGCTGGACTGCCCAAACAGAGCCCCGGCCGCTGCCTGCTTCCACGCTCCAAAATCACAACCACCTCCCTAGCTGGGCTCCACTGTCTCAAGACTGAGCCTCACGCAGAAACTAATCTGCTGAAAAATTTTGGTATGCAGGTTTTGTTACTGAAATCTCCAGACTTTCACAGTCAGGACTGATGACCTTGCCCCAGCTCCCTATAATTTCGAAAGCCCCGGCAGCCGCAGCCACAGTCACACACACACACACACACACACACACACACACACACACACCCCACAAATTTGCCACCCACTTAGTTAAACTCTAACTGCTGCATCCTGTTAAAAATTCCAAATTTTCTGGAGCATCTGGCCACATGGTATCTCAAACTCTAAAACACTGATAAACTAGTAATAGCACACCAGACTGGATGGGATGTAACATCGAAGGCAACCAATCTCAATTAACAAAGCATAAACACAGAAGGTTTAACCTGTAACAACATCTTAGTAATAAAATCTCATTAAGTAAGATAAGGACTTAGTGTCTCCATGTGAGATTAAAAACAATTTCCACTAATTTTCTTCTAAGGAAACATTTTGATCATTATGAACATTTTATCAATTGTTCTGCAAATTACTGATAACAAGCAATATGAAATAAATTATTAAGGGTCTGCAATGGGGACAGATTTAAGAGGTGGCTGGGAAAATTGAAGAGAGTGGTGGAGGAAAGGTGTAATAGTGGTGGGATTGGAGTGGAAATACTGAATGTCTACAACAAATCATAATGAACAACTGTAAACTATACTGTTTATATATAAAATGTAAGGGAAAAATTTACATGTGGGCTTAACCTATTCCATGTAAACTCCAAAATATATAAACACAGAATTGCTTCAAAAGTTTTATTAATGACAGGTGAGATACGATCATTACCATAATGAAATCTAAGTAAAAAATAAAATTTAATTAATGTAAAATACTTTAGAGTCCAGAGTTGAAAATGTGTATATATATATATATATATATATATATATATATATATAAAGAATAGGCATTGTATTACATTGTATTAAACGGTTTAGTTTTCTTATTTACATAGGCCAAAATTATATGGTAATCACTAAATCAGTAATTGGTTATTACTGACTTATTTTCTGATCATTCTATCTGCCATTCTTAAAGTTTTGTTAGAATTACCAATATAGAGTAAATTTGCTCTGTGCCTACGGGGGAAGGTTGGGATTGAGAGAGAAACTGGGGATGTTGGAGAAGGAAGGTCACACATGTGGTGTTGGAACACTATATGCCTGAAAAAACTGTTTAATGAGCAACTTTGTAAATCACTGCTTTTAATAAAACTTAATAAAAAAAATATTTTTAGTCAGGGATATGTCAGTGGCAGAGCATGTGTCTTGTATGTATGTTGCCCTGGGTTTGATTCTTGGCCCTGCAAAAAGGGACTATTTGATAAAAACTTATTTTAGAGATTTCCTGATTTTAATAAAGAGTATGTTAATAGTAGGAAAAATTAAATTTTTGCTAACAATAGTATTAAAAATTTTATAGCCATTTAATTAAAGAAATTTGTAAACTAAGCATACATAAAACTGTAAAAAGCAGTAATAACTGTTTAAACTTTTATATACATACCCCCGGAATAAAAGTCAGTCTATTACCATCCATCCAAAATTCTTTCAATCCACTTAGTTGTTCAAGTACTTCAGGCTGTTTAAATAAAAAAACGGTGAATTCCAATAATGTACCTGAATCTCCTGATTCAGCAAGAGCAGTTCCCAGAAAAAAAAAATTTTTTTTTCCTTTCTGGGTCACACCCAGTGATGCACAGGGGTTACTCCTGGCTCTGCACTCAGGAATTACCCCTGGCGGTGATCAGGGGACCACATGGGATGCTGGGAATCGAACCCGGGTCGGCCGCGTGCAAGGCAAACGCCCTACCCGCTGTGCTATCACTCCAGCCCCCGCCCAGAAATTTTTAATATTTAACTTTTAGTCAGCTAGGGGTTTGCTAGGAGAGAGAACGTATAGTGGACAAAGCACTTGCCTTGCACTGACCTGACCAGGGCTGGATCTCTGGGACCCACATGGTTTCCCAAGCCCTGCCAGGAGGGATCCCTGAGTAGAGCCAAGATTAATCTTTGAGCACCACCAGGTGTGGCTCCCAAAACCAAAATAAACAGTCATATAAAATATCAACTGAAAATTTTAAATAAATTACTCCAGAGAGGAGTAAGGCGCCTGCATTGCACACAGCCAGTCAGGGACTGATCCCTGGCACTACTAAATGGTCCTCTGAGCACTGCTTGAAAGTGATTCTTTTTTTTTTTGGCTTCCCGGGTCATTCCCGGCGATGAACAGGGGTTACTCCTGACTTTCCACTCAGGAATTACTCCTGGCGGTGCTCGGGGAACCACATGGGATGCAGGGAATGGAACCCGGGCCGGCCTCGAGCAAGGCAAACGCTCTACCCGCTGTGCTATTGCTCCAACCTTGGAAGTGATTCTTGAGCACAGTTGGCACCCAAACCAAAACCTAAACCAAGTAATGAAATAAATGACAGGAACAGAGTTAAGATTCAATTTTTCTTAGCATACAGCTTTGACAATAATATTACTGAAGAGTATCTCGCCCGCACGGCAGAGCCTGGTAAGCTCCCTGAGATGTATTTGATATGCCAAACACAGTAACAACAAAGTCTCCAATGGAGACGTTACTGGGCCCGCTCGAGCAAATCGATGAACAACGGGAGGACCATGACCATGACCATTACTGAAGAACTCAAAAACATTCCATCCATAAAACCCAAAAGCCTTTACTTGCATAATAAACTCAAAATATTTATACAGCGCCCTCTCTCTCCTTTCTCCCCTTTCCCCTCTCTGTCTCTGTCTGTCTGTCTGTCTCTCTCATCCCTCGGGAAACCACTGCTCATACAGAGCGAGTGCATATAGCTTGCGATCCCGCACACTGCATACAATCTCAACATCCCCAGATCTGCCCTTCATAGTCCTCAGCAGTGCCTGGCCCAAGCATCTCTGCCTTGTGGACTCAGAGCACTAAAATGTCAAGCCCACACAGAACAGCCAAGTATTGCCAGGAGAGAACCTCTGGCCCAAAGTATGGAGAGGCCCCCTCAAAATAAAACTTACTGCTTGCAAGGACAAAACAAAAAGATATTCTGAATTATTATCTGTCAAAGATAAGCTTTTTAGGAAATCAGGAAAATCATCAAGATGCTCCCTGCTGACTAAGAGGAGAAACAGATATATAGTACATAACCAAATATATGAAGGAAAGGTAAGTAAGTAGAGGTATAATTATAGAACTATATTATTTCAAACTCCCAGCAATCAATTGGTAGAACATTTTCTGAGAACCAAAATATCAATCAGAGTTAATTAAACTTGGTATCCAAGCAAATTTCTTACTGGACACCCTGTTTTCTAAAAAGACTTCCACACAACCCAGGAATTCCACTCTTGGGAATACAGCATAAGGACTCAAAACCACCGCAGAAAAGCCACCTGCACCCTTCTTTTCATTACAGCACTACTTGCAACAGCCAGGATCTGGAAAAAAGTCAAGTGCCCAAGAACAGGTGACTTGATAAAGACACTACAGTATATATACATAGTGGAATGCTACTTGGCAGGAAAGATAAAGTCATGAAATTCACTGATACATTGATGGATCTCGGCTATCATGCTGAGTGAAATGAGTCAGGGAGAGGACAGACACAGAAGGATGCACTCGTTTGTGAGATACTGAAGAAACATAGTAGGTGAATAATGCCCAAGACAAAAGAAATGAAGGACAGGAGGAGAGGCCCTTTATAGGAAGCTTGCATCGGCAGAGGAAAGGAGGTGAAGAAAGGGAAAGGACCACTATGACAATGATGGTGGGACACGGATGAGAACTGAGTGCTGATAGTGAAATGCATCATGCCCTTCCAGGATTGCAAAACATAAGTGCCAAAAAGTAAAAAGTGCCTATAGAAGCAGGCTGGAAGCGAGAGGGAAAATGGGGACACTGGTGAAAAGACTGGCACTTGGTCATTGTGCCTGAATCTCAAGCATGAAAACCAGTGTAATTCACAGTGAGTCAATGAAGTTTTAAAAAAAAACTCATTTGAAATCCACCAGGATTTTAAAAAAACAAAATGTTTAATATGCTATTAAAATATTCATGTCAATAAATTATTAAAATCCTATTAGCTTTCTGAGTTCTCTCAGAAAACTGACTAAAAACAATACTTCTTACATATATACTCTTGTTTGGTTCATATTATAGTAACTTTACTAAAAATTAAAAACAATCTTGAAATTTCATTATCGACTAAATTCTGCTCAATAATTTCTCTATTATCTATTAAAAATATCAATGACCTTATCATTTAAATAAAATCCTAAATGTATCAGATACTTAGTTTTTTGACTCAGAAGTACTATTCCTGAGGCATTCTAGTCTGATAAAACTGTTTCCCCTTATAACCTCTCAAAAATGTTAGTCAGGGTCAAGAACTTAGTGGGTGGGGGGCTAGAGCGATAGCACAGCAGGCAGGGCATTTGTCTTGCATACGGCCAACCTGGGTTGATTTCCAGCATCCCTTATGGTCCCCTGAGCACTGCCAGGAGTAACTCCTGAGTGCAGAGCCAGGAGCAACCCCTGAGCATCGCCAGGTGTGACCCAAAAAAGAATTTGGAGGGTGTTTGCTTTGCATGTGGCTGATCCAGGTTTGATCCTTGGCATCCCATATATTCCCTAGAGCACTGCCAGGAATAATTCCTGAGTGCAAAACCTGAAGCAACCCCTGAGCACCGCTGGGTGTGACCCCCAAAAAGCACCCCCCAAAGAAAAGCACTTTCATATTTTGTCTCTTGAAAATATCATTACCTAATTTTTTTTTTTTTTTTTTGCTTTTTGGGTCATACCCGGTGATGCACAGGAGTTCATGCACTCAGGAATTACTCCTGGCGGTGCTCAGGGGACGATATGGGATGCTGGGAATTGAACCTAGGCCGGCCGCGTGCAAGACAGATGCCCTACCCGCTGTGCTATCGCTCCAGCCCCTCATTACCTAATTTTATACTTAATACATTAATCTTTGTATTTGCTCTTGCTCAAATATATACTTAAGTTAGTGAGACTAATAACAACTTACCACTTCTGTGAATTCATTACTTCCCAAATCCAGTCTTTCCAGCTGGGTCAGTCTATTCATGGTTCTATTCACAAAAGATTAATAAAGAATTTAGAATACAGTAAACAACATTTTTCCCCTCCGGTAATGAAGAGGGGATACACTTAGTGCTTAGAGGTTATTCTTGATTCTGTGCTTGAGGGTCTCTCAACAATGTTTAGGGGCCCATGAAGGTGTCAGGTATAAACCTGGGTCTACTGCATGTGAATCATGCATACTGAGCGAGTTGTCTTCCCGCCCTGTATAATAGTAAAATCTAACAATGTACAGGCTTTTGCATGTTGGCAAAAATAACTAAGAAAAAGCTTAAAAGTTATGCTTAATTATTTCCTTTAGGAATGGAAATTGGGCCACTGTTAGTGGTGCTCAGGGCCTAATCTTTTTTTTTTTTTAATACATTTATTGAATCACTGTGAGAAAAATTACAAAGCTTTCAAGTTTAAGTCTCAGTCATACAGTGATCTAACACCCCTCCTTTCACCAGTAATTATTTTTCACCACCAAGAACCTCAATATATCCCCCTCCCACCCCTCCCGATGCCTGTGAGGCAGATGATTTCTACTTAGCTCTCTCTCTACTTTGATTACATTTATTATTTTGACAAAAGATGCATCATTATTGTTTGGAATTCCCGCCCCCCCCCCCCCCCGCCAACAATCAGAACTGCTGAAAAGGCATTGTGAAATAATTTGTTTTCTATTGCTGGTTATGAAAACCATATGATGTCACGCAGCCGCAATAGTGGCCACACGATTTTGGATTTTTGATATTGTACTAATTAAGTCTGGGGGGATTTCTGCCAAGAGCCGGATAATTAGAGATTGATTTCAGTGTGTCTGGTGCCATGGCTGTGCCAGAGAGCCGCTCGTGGGGGGCAACTTGTGGCCTCGGTTGGGCGTGAAGGACGAGCCAGTTTTGCCCCCCTTCCCATGAGGCTGCAGTTGCCCCGTCACTGCCGGCTCATATCTGGCTTTCCAATAAGCTCGGAGGCAGTGGCCGCCATGCTGCTGAGGGTGGGGGGTGGGGGGGGAACATGGCACCATAGTTTAACGCATAGTCCATTTACATTTCTGCCTCAAGCTGCTGGGCTCTGAATTAAGTCCTTTTGCCTCTGGAGCCATGGCCGAGCTGGAGAGCCGCTCATGGGGAGCAACTTGTGGCCTTGGTCGGGCGTGAAAGATGATCCGGTTTCGTCCCCCCTACCCATGAGGCTGCAGTTGCTCTGTCACCACTGGCTCATACCTCAGGGCCTAATCTGACCTTTATTCTAAGGGGACCATATGTGGGGAGGCAGAATGAACCTGGGTTGGCTAGGCATGCAAGGCAAGCACCTTTACCCTTGTACTTTCTCTGGCTACAAGATACTTAATCTCTAAGCAAAATTAGGTAGTTTATCGATTTATTTTTACTTTTACTTCTCTCGGGGAGAGATAATACAGAGACTTGCACCGTATGCAGCTAACACTGCCCATCCGCCCCACCCTCCACTTGATCACTCCACATGAGGTTCCCCCCATCCCACCAGCATTTCCAGGAGTGATCCCTAAACAGAACCAGGAGGAGGAAGCCCTAAGCACCGCTGGCTGTAGTACACCCTACTCTCATAAATAAATAAACCTAAGCACTGCTAGGTATGGTCCCACAGCAAAAAAAGAAAAAAAAAGTAATCATAAATTTAAACCATCAGAATAGACAAAGTCATTTGAAATTTTCATTTCTGGAAAAATTTTTTATGTAGTACAAATCAACTAATGAATTAGACCATTTAGTAATCATGAAGTAATTAGTCATTTTTCGAGACCAATCACCTATTTTTAAAAATTTGCTCACACGGCAGAGCCTGGCAAGCTACCCGTAATATATTCGATATGACAAACACAGTAACAACAAAAGTCTCCCATGGAGACGTTACTGGGCCCACTCGAGCAAATCAATGAACAATGGGAGGACAGTGACAGTGACAAGTTCTGAAAATATTCAAAATTCTATAAACAGCAAGCATTAGTTTTTCCACATTTAAAAACTAAACTAAAACTCAAATTAAGTTTTATAAAAATAAAATCTGTACCTTAAAGTCATAATATACTATTTTAACTTCTAACAATACCATTATTTTTCTTTACCTACCAAGATAAACTGTGTCTTCATTTTTCCAGCTTGTTAAGAAATCTCTTTCATAAATGGACAGGGGCTGGAAAGACTGTATTGCATTTAGGGTGCTTGCCTTGCCCATGGCTGACCCGAGTTCAATATTCAGCACCTCACCATAGTTCTGGAGCGCAGAGTTAGGAATAAGCCCTAGCACTGCTGAACCATAGCCCCAAAATAACAACAACAAAAAAACCCAAATTAAAACAAAAATCCCAAACAAACAAAACAATAAACTAAATGTTAATTTGTAGATCTGCTTTAGTTTTCCTTGATCTCTTAAGTGGCTATCCTTGCATGATGTTAAGTTACCACTAGATGGCCTTCTACTACATTTTTAATTCAAAAAGACTATTAAACCAGACACTTCTTTCAATTGGTTATTACATTTCACATGAAGAGCCTACAGGTATGCAGCTGACACCACTGCCTATGAACCCTGAGCTTCACCAGCAGTGACCCAAGAGAACCAGGACTTACAAACACCCCGAGGTCTATACCCCGACTCTGTGCCATGTCTCAAAGTCCCTAAGGTCTCTACAACTACTGGCCTAAAGTCCAGTACATGCAATGGGAATTTACTGGGACTCAGGTAGACAATACATACTAATTGCCTTAACCTTAATTTTGGGGTTTTGGGCCATATTTTGGTAGTGCTCAGGGGCTACTCCCAACTAGTTGCTCAGGAGTGACCCTTGGAGAGAGGAGGGGGAGACTATGTGGTACTGGAATTCAAAACACAAGGCAAACGCCTTAACCCTTGAATCCTTAATGCCAAATCTTAACACCTTAACCTCTTTCCCATCCCTTTTTTCGACAATTTATCAGTCAAGACTGAGTTCTTAGTAATTAGTAACTCAGAAGTTACATATCACTTTAAACACAAACGATGTAGAATTCTATAGTGAACCAACTAAAATATGATGACCACAAATAGTTGGCTTATAAAATAATTTGTACACATTTATTAAAATAGGGCTGGAGCGATAATAGCACAGCGGTAGGGCTTACAAGCGGCCAACATGGCCGACCCGAGTTCGATTCCTCCGCCCCTCTCGGAGAGCCCGGCAAGCTACCGAGAGTATTCGATAGGCCAGACACAGTAACAACAAAGTCTCCAATGGAGACGTTACTGGGCCCGCTCGAGCAAATCGATGATCAACGGGAGGGCCTTTTACCTTTTAATTCTTAACTGAAGTATATGAAGGTAAAGGTAAAGGGTAAAGGCCCTCCCGTTGATCGTCGATTTGCTCGAGCGGGCCCAGTAACGTCTCCATTGGAGACTTTGTTGTTACTGTGTCTGGCATATCGAATACTCTCGGTAGCTTGCCGGGTTAGTATATGAAATAAGTATGAATTAACCCTAAATAAATTTCAGCAGTAGGGTGTTTGCTTTGCATGCAACCAACATTGCCAACCCGAGTTCGATTCCTCCACCCCTCTCGGAGAGCCCGGCAAGCTACCGAGAGGATCTCGCCCGCACGGCAGAGCCTGGCGAGCTACCCATGATGTATTCGATATGCCAAACACAGTAACAACAGAGTCTCCAATGGAGACGTTACTGGGCCAGCTCGAGCAAATCGATGAACAACGGGAAGACCGTGACCGTGACCGGAGATATTAAAATATCAACAATTTCTCTAAGGTCTTAAGGAATTTTCTTAAAAATAAGGTTTTTGTTTTGTTTTGGGCCACACCTAGCTGTGTTCAGGAGACCATAAACAGTGATAGGGATTGAAACTGGGTCAGTCCTTTGCACATTATATTATCTCTTTGGCCCAGAACTAAAAAATTTAATTATGGGGGCAAGGTGCCGTCAACAGGTCAATCTGTACCTGTGAGGCGAGTGCATCAGCAGCCTGATGGCGCCTTCAGACTTCCAGCTACGCCAAAACCGCTGCTGTGCCTTTGGCCAGACTCCAAAAACCACCAAGAAAGTAAACGGCCAAAAGTGAGGTATGTGGGAGACACAGCCACAGACCAGCTATAGCTCAGCTATATAATTGGAGGCATGGCCTCTCTGGTTCCTGATCGAACTGCTTAACGGCCATGACCCCAGAGACTCAGAAACAAATTTCGAAACCCAACGGCTTTGAGGCCTCTGGATAGTCAGGTCTGAGCCCTCAGTGACGAGACATGCGGGGCCTCACGGGATGGCGGTGAATCCGGCCCTTTTCTCCCCAACCCAACGAGACCCCAAGTAGCCACCCACGAATGGTCTCCCTGGCTCCTGATCAAGCTGCTCAATAGCCATGATCACAGAGACTCAGGAACAAATCTCAGAACCCAGTGGCTTTTGGCAGAAATGCGTCCAGACCCCACAGTAGGTTACTGTCGCCAAGGGGGAAAGGGTGTTGTCCCACCGCCTGCTCCCCCTAGACGGTTCGATGGCCACCATTCTCCAGAGGCCACTGGACAGTCAGGTTTGGGCCCTCAGTGATGAGACACGTGGGGCCTCACAGGATGGGGGTGGAGCCGGCCCTTTCCTCCCCACCCTAACAAGACCCTGAGTCGCTGCCCAGGAACGGCCTTTCTGGCTCCTGATCAAGCTGCTTAACGGCCATGATCCCAGGGACTAAGGAACAAATCTTGGAACCCAGCAGGTTTTGGCAGAAATCCCTCCAGATTTAATTGCTAAAATTTCAGAATTTCAAAATCGCACTACTGCAGCCATGCGACATCGTATGTTATTCATAACCAGAAATGAAAAACAATTTGTCTACTATTGACTTTTCAGCTGATCTGAGTGTTGGGATAAAATCCCAAATAATAATGGTGGGTGTGGTAAAAATATTGAATGCAATCAAAGTAAAGAGAGTAATGTGGAAATCATCTGCCCCAAAGATAGGGGGAGGGTGTGGGATGGGGGTTTACTGGGTTTTTTTGTGGTGGAGAATGGGCACTGGTGAAGGTACGGGTGTTTCATTGTATGAAGGAGACTTAAACCTGATAGCTTTATAACTGCTCTCACAGTGATTCAATAAATAAAATTATAAAAAATGAAAAAAAATTTAACTAAAGTTTTAGAAGGATGAAACTTACTTTGGCAACATTTTCAACTGGTTTTCTCTAAGTTCTAATATCTGGAGTTTAGTTAACCTGTAAAGCAAAATAAATCAAGATATGACACTTCAATAAATACAATATTTAAGCTTTAAAATAACTGATATAATTAGGAAAGCCGAATTTCACACTAAAAATTACACAGAAAAAGGAGAAAAAAAACTATTTGCTCTTCTGAATTAAAGGGATAAACACCTTTAAACATAACCAAAGCACAAAATGACTAATACCTAAATGTCAATTCCAGAACATTTCCTATCTCTTTCTGCAAACATCTCCCCCAAATTACGCCATTAGTAGATTGAAGAATAATAATTCACCTCTAGAGTTTGGCGCTGAGCAGAAGAAAAAAATAAGGAAACATGAGGACATGAAAGTGAAGAAATTCCTCTTTCTAGCACTTTACTAAAATCAGAGGGAAGCTGAGAAAATAAAGCAGTGCACAAATGCTTTAACACTACAATTCATATTCTAACATATATAAACTAATCAATATGCTGTACACCTTAAATACTGTGTCAATACATTTGCAGTAATATAAAATGTAACAAATTTCAGATACAGAAAGGAAACTGAGGCACAATGATTAATTTTAGAAAGGCAAACTGTAACATTGTGCTGTACCGACTACTCATAAATTCATTTTACCATAAAAAATTATTAATAGACTGGACTAAAGAGATAGCCCAAAAGATTGAGCACCTATTTTACACACAGGATTCCATACTCAGCACCTCATGTTCTCTGAGCACTGCCAGAAGTGACTCTTTGAGCAACAATCCTAGACAATGTCAGGTATGGCCCAAAGACACAAAAAACAAATTAAAAATAACCAAGGAATTTAATATGACAAGAATTACTCTGTAGTCTCACTGAGGGAGGGTTAGTACACAAGTAAGGTCTATAATCTCCAGAAACAAATTCTCTTTTCTAAAGACTTTGAATTAGAGACTGTCTAGACAGAATCAATAGATTGTTAGTTTGAAGACTTTGAATTACAGAGACAGAACCAATAGTCAGACTGGTTTAAAGTGGGAGAAGTGCTAAAAACAAAGTATTCCGTATCTAAAACATCTAAACAGTGTTCCCACTTTAACTATTTGTATATAGTAGTTAAAAACTTTAAAAACCAATTCAAGACTTAAATGACTTTTTTATTTTGCATTTTTCAACAATACTATTTATTGGGAAAATAAAACTGAAGTCAAAACAACAGGATCCAAAGAAACTGTAAAACCATAACTACTAAGAGATAATGACAAAAGAGCCAACAAAGCTATCATTAATAGTACTGCTAAAGCAACTTGCAGTTTTGTGAAACTGAAAAGGCTTAACAACAAACTATAATTTACCTGCCAAAATTAGCTGGCAAGAACTCAAGGAAAGCATCATTCAGATATAACTGGGTTAGATTTAACAGCTGTGAAAATCCATCAGGAAGCCTAAATAAAATACACCAGAATTTAAATGTATGTACAGAATTCCAGTCTTACTAAAATTTAAGTGTTAACAACACACATTCTTATAAGTCATTTTACTTTTAGAAAGATCTTCAAGTTGAGATTTGTTTTATAGTAATAACTTATCTATTTTAGTGCTTATATCTTCATCTGTTTGTAGAAAGAAAATAAGGCAGCATTTGTCTCAATAAAGGAAAAATTCTGCATATATACTACTCTGGATAAGCCCAAATACAAATAAATGTACCAAGGACAAATATTCAATCAGTAGACACCTTACTAATATTAACCAAAGAACAAGATAAAGGCAAGGGATATAACTCAATGGCAAAGCACTTATCTAGCATGTATTAGGCTACGAGTTTGATCCCCAGTACAAGAATAATAACAGAAAGAACGAATAATTCTTTATTGCAAGGGATGTAGCTCAGTGGTAGGGGGCTTACCTTGCATATTAAGGCCTGGGTTCAATCCCAAGAACCACCATGACATGACTACCAAAAATAATTAGAGAGGAATGTCTAAAGCTTCATCACATATTGACTTTGAAGACTGGACATTCTTTGTTGTGAGGGCTATTTTATACAATATATGGTATTTAATAGCAACCTTGTTTACACACTAGATGTTACCCCCACAGGTTGTAAAAACCAAGTTTCCATAATTTGCTAAAAAAAAAAAAAACCACCCCGGGGGGCAAAACCATTCCCACTTGATAACCACTAGTTTAGCTTATTATCATTATTATCATTTTGTTTTGAAGGCTGCACCTGGCAGTGGCTCAGGGCTTACTTTACTCCTGGCTATGCACTTAGGAATCACTTCTGGCCGGGCTCTAAGGACCACATGTGGTTCCAGGGATCACACACACACACACACACACACACACACACACACACACACACACACACACACCAGCTGCATGCATAGCAAGCTCTCGGGTCCTAGTTCAGGTTATTCTCAATATCAACATTTGGCTCCTAAATAAAGATTTATATATCTATAAAGAGATAAGACTATGTAAAGCTGGTAACACGTTAAAGTCATATAATAACTTACACGGATTATTTTATATATTTCCTCTGTCATTAAATAAACTATACACCTACAGATGGGATGTTTTGCATGTGTCAGTCTCAGGTGCAGTATCCCATATCATATGGTCCCATAAAGCATCATACTGGGAGGAGTTCCTGAGCATTACTGGGTGTGTACCCCTTTCACCAAAAAGAAATTACAACCCTAGAACTTGATTTCAAAGTTCTAGTACCAATGTTTTAAGAAGACACCTTCATATAACATGTCTGTTCTTAAAGAAGTACAGTAATTTCTTGTGGTAAATCACCAGTCTTTCACTCACCTGCTTTCTCCCCTATCATCTGTAAAAGCAAGTATGAAACACTGTATTCGGAGAAATTCATTAAACACAATATTGCAATATAGTAAAGATGATTTTAACTTTCAACTTATACTAAGTCTACTTCACTCTACTACTCATCTCTTGCATCACATCATTCCTTTTTTACAAAGTTGTGTGACACCTGACATATGCTACAAATAGTTTTCTGTTTTTGTTGTTTTCACTCCTTGATATTTCAGTTTTCATTATTTTCAAAAGTCTGAGTGTGCTACAATCTAATTTGGAAGAAAAATATTCTTAAATTGTACAGATAACACCAAGTGACATTATCTATAAAACCTAGACAAAAACGTTTGCATTACCTGTATTTCAAATTAGTCTAGGTAAAATATGAAGTGAGAAAGATTATTTAAAAGGTTCCTTTTTAATCTAAAACAGAAATCTTATAAAATTGAATTTATTGAAAAAAGGGATTAAAACTAAATTACTATTTCTTAGCTCTTTTATAAGTCAACATAATTCAACAGAAAAAACTTACTTAGAAATAGGGTTGACACTGGCCTCCACAACTGTCAAAACCTTACAATTTTTTATATTTTCTGGAAACTCTGGTATTCCTAGAATATAAACAAGTATGTAATGATTAAAAGACTATAAAAAAATAGCAGTAAGTAATGCACAGCTTCAGGTTTTACCAAACTAAGCAGAAATAGAACACCACCAATCACTTAATTTCTCCCTTTTCTATTTCAATTTTTTGCTTACTGCCTCATTTTAAGCCACCAACTATCTTTAACAGTTTTATTTCCCTATTATATATCCAATACAGTAATGACCAGATTTTCAGAGGTTAAAGAACGATTTTGACTTCACAGATGGTGTTCCTTTTTATTTTTCGGGGTCATACCTGAAGGTGCACAGGGATTACTCTCAGCTCTGCCCTCAGGAGTTACTCCTGGCTGTGCGAGGGGAGGGGGTGGTGGAGAAATGTCAGTGCATTCAACCCTGTTCCATTGGTCTGCAGCTCTGCCTTTGTTCCAGTGCCATGCTGTTTTAATTATTACTGGCTTGTAGTAGAGTTTGAAGTTAGGGAGGTTGATTCCTCCCATTTTCTTTTTCCCAAGAATTGCTTTAGCTATTCGTGGGGGCTTATTGTTCCATATAAATTTCAGGAGTGTATGCTCCATTTCTTTGAAGAATGTCATGGGTATCCTTATAGGGATTGCATTGAATTTGTACAGTGCTTTGGGAAGTATTGCCATTTTGATGATGTTGATTCTCCCCATCCATGAACAGGGGATATTTTTCCATTTCCTCGTGTCCTCTTTTATTTCCTGAAGTAGTGTTTTATAGTTTTCTTTGTACAGGTCCTTTACTTCCTTAGTTAAGCTGATTCCTAGGTACTTGATTTTCTGGGGCACAGTTGTGAATGGGATTGCTTTCTTCATGTCACTTTCTTCTCTTTCACTATTTGCGTATAGGAAAGCCATGGATTTTTGGGTATTGATTTTATAGCCTGCCACTTTACTATACAAGCCTATTGTTTCTAGGAGTTTCTTGGTAGAGGTTTTAGGGTTCTCTAAGTATAGTATCCTATCATCTGTGAATAGTGCGAGCTTAATTTCTTCTTTCCCTATCTGGATGCCTTAATATCTTTTTCTTGCCTAATTGCTATTGCAAGTACTTCCAGTACTATATTGAACAGTAGTGGAGAGAGTGGACATCCTTGTCTCGTCCTTGACCTTAGGGGGAAGGGTCTCAGTTTTTCCCCATTGAGGATGATGTTTGATGCTGGGAATTTTAATCATTAAACCATATAATCTGGACAGCCAGGGGCAGTGGGGGGGGGGGTAGAGTGGAGGTGGGGGCAGAGGAAGGACTTGAACTGAATGAAAGAAGAGAAATCAAGAAAACCTAAAAGTCAAATCCTGAAATAATTTTAAATAACTACAACATGGAGTGATAGCACAGCGGGTAGGGTGTTCGCCTTACAAGCGGCCAACATGGCCGACCCGAGTTCGATTCCTCTGCCCCTCTCGGAGAGCCCGGCAAGCTACCGAGAGTATTCGATATGCCAGACACAGTAACAACAAAGTCTCCAATGGAGACGTTACTGGGCCCGCTCGAGCAAATCGACGATCAACGGGAGGGCCTTTACCTTTACCTTTTACAACATACTAAAAACTAATACAAGTATTCCATGTTGTTTCTGGGCAACTCTCAAGTAACAGATGAATATTTAAAAAGTACCTTATCTGGCATTTTTAAATACACCAATTATTAGACTGAAATGATACAAACATCAAAATGAATAAAAATGCTAGAGTTTAGGAGCTGGAGAGAGAGTACAAGAGGGTAAGACATCTGGCTTTTCAATGCAGCCAACCCGGTTCAGTCCCTTGTACTGCACACAGTCCCTCAAGCACCATCAGAGCACCATCCTGGGCACTTCTGGGCATAGCCCAACCATTCCTCTCCCCACCCCCCACAATTACTTATACACATGGAAGTTTATATATTTAAATGCTAATACATTACAATGTGGATTTTTGTGTGTTTATTTGGGGGCCAACACAATGTTCAGCAATGTTCAGGGCTTATTCCTGGTTCTATGCTCTGAGGTCAATCCTGGTGGTTCTTGGAGAACCATATGGGGATTGAACCCTGATCATCAGCAGAGTACATGGTAAGTGCATTATTCATTGTATTATCTGTCCAACCACTGGCTTTTAAATTGTATTTCTTTCATTAAAACACAATGAAATCTTAGCAACATAACATGTTCCCAAATAAATATAACAAATTCCCTAACAAAAAACTAGAGAAAGCGGGCAGGACTGTAGCCCAGGAGAGTCCATGTTTTACTTATATGAGTCTGTAGATTTGATCCCTGATACACAAAAGAAAAAGAAAAAAACAGTTTAGGAGAAAAAGCCTTACCATTCTTGCTGACATCCAGTTCCCTGAGATTAATGAGATTTGCAATAGATGCTGGTAACGCTGTTAAATCATTATCTGCCAAACTCAGTTTGTGTAGAGACTGACAGTTAAAAAGTTGCTATTGAAAAAAACAAAAGGACTGATTACGTTTCCTTAAGTATTTTCGTTATTAACCTAAGTATTTATATATTACTAAAACGTAAAACCGAATGGGTTACATCTATACAAAAACAAAGACCTTACTATTTTATTATGGATCTGAACACAACTGAATTACAAAGAATGATTTATAGCCTCACACTTTTGCACCGAGTATAATCACAGTGAGAAGTATATAGTTTTAAGTCTATGCTGAGGAGGAAAATGTAGCTGCAAAAAGCTTGAATTAATATTCTTTCACCTAAAATGTGCAATTTTAACATTCTAACAATTTGAAGAGACAAAGGCTAAAATTCTTATTTTTAAAAATGAGGGGTTAGTGAGAGATAATTAAAAAAAAAACCCTCACTGAAATGAACACCTCACAAGATTAGTCTATCCAGCTAGAATCAGATTTGAAGGAGCAATACAGAGCTCATGGACTGGCAACAGTTCAGGAATTCATAGCCTTGAAACCAGTTTTAAAGCAAGAAGCATTAAAGGAGCATTTTTAAAAGACAAAATAAACTTCTCAGCATGCACTTTGCCATTGAGCATGGCATTCACCTATAGTAGCATTTATGGTTGCCCTCTCTAAGGTTAAGAAAGATCTGTTTATTCCTAGCTTATTAAGGGAATTTATACCTTTCCAACAATGAATTAATGTATTATTAAAAAAAGAAATGCTCAATGGGGCAAGAAACATGGCTTATAAGACTAAGCACATACTTTGCATATAGAAGGCCAGGTTTTACCCCTGACAAGGTATGGTCTCCCCGGCAACACCTCCAACCTGTCTAATTAGCTCTAAGCACCTGAGCACTGCCAGGTGTAAATCCCCCAAACCCAACCCCCACAAGTAAACATGAGGAACAGAGGGTATGTCTCAGAGTTGGACTGCATGCCTTGTATATTTGAGGCCTTAGGTGTAATTGAGGCAGTGTTAAAAGAAAATGTTGGTTTACCCTATGATAAAATTAAACATCGGTATCATTGTGAGATTAGGAATATTTTATTCCTAGGCTTAAAAACAGTCAAAGGTAGAAGTCAGGAAAGTGGGTCTAGTGTTCATGGTAGGGCAAATGCTTTATATCCCCAGCAATGCAAGCTAAGTCCCCACCTCCATAAATAGATATCCTATAGGGTTATAGTTTGGCCGCCAGGTGGGCTTTCACTACAATAGTGACATAACAAGTTATTCCAAACAAACAAACAAAGACAACGCTTGAAAGATATACCTTTGGAAGTTCTTCAATCTGATTAGCATCTAAATAGAGCTCCTCTAATGTTTTTTCAAAAGTAAAAATCTCTTTGGGAACTTGCTCCAAACTGCAATGAGAGTAATCAAGAGTAGTGATAGTCTCCTCTTCCCCTCGTAGACAACGGCATGGGACCAACCGCACAAACAAACTTCGTTTTGTAGTCATTTTCAGAAACTGCAATATTCAAGTAAAAATAGATTTAGTTAAAACATAGATATGATCTCAAAACACAAATACTGCAACTTATTACTATATATATGACATATAGCTTATGTTTCCCTATAACACACACTATGAATGCAACATTGCTAATGAGCTTGCAAATTTTACATATTCTGAATTTCAAACTAAGTTCAAACACTTTAGTTCAAGCACATTTGGAACCCAGTTTTATACATTAACCTACAAGAATTACACTTTTTTAAAAAAATTTTTATTTTTATTTATTTATTTTGCTTTTTGGGTCACACCCAGCGATGCTCAGGGGTTACTTCTGGCTCATGCACTCAGGAATTACTCCTGGCGGTGCTTTTGGGACCACATGAGATGCTGGGAATTGAACCCGGGTCGGCCATGTTGGCTGCGTGCAAGGCAAACCCCCTACCCGCTGTGCTATCGCTCCAGCCCCAAGAATTACACTTTTTGAGTCTCTCATTCTCAGTAAGAAAAACCCTAATAAAACAAAGAGATTTAATTTCTGATTAATAGTTATTTCTTAAAAAGCTGACTACATGCAATTTTGAACAAGAAATAGGAATATATTTCACATAGAATGATATTCCCCATGTCTATCCACTTATAAGTGAACTTCATGACTTAATCTCTCCTAACAGCTGCACAGAATTCCATTGTGTAGATGTACCAAAGTTTCTTTAACCAGTCGACTGTTCTTGAGCACTTGAGTTGTTTCCAGATTTTGGCTACTGTGAGCAGTGCTGCAATGAACATATAGCTGTACAGATGCCATTCCTACTGTGCTTTTTTGCATCCTCAGGATATATTCCCAGAATTGGTATTGTGGGGTCAACTGGAAGCTCAATTTCTAGTTTTTGAAGGACTGTCCATATTGTTTTCCAAATAGGCCGGACCAGTAAGCATTTCCACCAACAGTGAAAGAGTAGAGTGTCCCTTTTCCCCCACATCCATGCCAGCACTGGTTACTTTTGTTCTTCTGAATGTGTGCCAGTCTCTGTGGTGTGAGATGATATCTCACTGCTGTTTTGATTTGCATCTCCCTGATGACTAGTGACGTGGAGCAATTTTTCATGTGCCTTTTGGTCATTTGTATTTCTTTTTTGAGGGAGCTTCTGTTCATTTCTTCTCCCCATTTTTTGATGGGGTTGGAGGTTTTTTTCTTGTACAATTCTACTAGTGTCTTGTATATCCTGGATATTAATCCCCTATCAGATGGGTATTGGGCAAATATTCTTTCACATTCTGTAGACTCTCTGAATTTTTTCACTGTTTTTTTGAAGTGCAGAAGCTTCTTAGTTTGATGTAGTTGCGTTTGTTTATGTTTGTTTCCACTTGCCTGGTCAGTGGTGTTTCATCTTGTGAAATGATTCAGAGAGGGACAGACATAGAAAGACCGCACTCATTTGTGGAATATAATGTAACACATAGGACAGTAGATAAGAGGGTCAAGAAGATTGCTCCATAGTTGGAAGCCAAGAGATCACCAAGAGAATGATGGTTGGAGGAACCGGTTGGGAAGGGAGATGTGCGCTGAGAGTAGATAAAGGACCAACGTGATAGCCGCTCGGGATCTGCATTGCAAACCATAATGCCCAAAAGTAGAGAGTGAGTCTGGGGAACATTGCCTGCCATCGAGGCAGTGGAAGGGTGGGAAAGGTGTGGATATACTGGGGATACTGGTGGTGGGGAATGTGCACTGGTGGAGGAATGGGTGTTTGATCATTGTATGATTGTAACTCAAATATGAAAGCTTGTAACTATATCTCACGGTGAATCAATAAAATAAAAAAAAAAGAAATAGGACTATAAGACACTATCAGCTATTCACTGACGAGTCTTCCCAAGACTCTTCAACATCGAAATTCCAATCCTGCAAACACACTGTTTCAATAAAATACTAGTATTTAAAAGATTTCATAGATCTTATATTTAAGGTTATAAAGCAGAGAATAAATTTAAATCAATATAAACTTCACTGGTTAAAAAAACTAAATTAGGCTAATTTTATTGAGAATAAAAGGAATGGGGCGGGCAAAAAGGAGCCTAGGGAGCAGAAATGGGACATTGTGGCACAATACAATGAACATCTAAAACACTGATATAAACACTAATTACAAATCATGATACCCCAATTTTAAAATGCCACTTTTGGAAATGAAATTAAAGTACTTAAGTACATAATTCAACTATATGATTGTTGTTTTTAAATTCCTTTTTTAGTTTAACTCAGGGGCTAACGTGATTGTGTAAGAGTTAAGCCCTTGAATGTGGCTGACAGCAATCAATCCCCTATACCACATCTGGCCACCAGAGTACCATCAGGATGGAACCTGAGCACAGAATCCGAAACAGCTCCTGAGCACCACTGGGAATAACCTTAAAACCCTCCAAAAAAAAAGAGCTTACTTCAATAAAGAAGAATGATAAATGGCATTACTAATTCTTTGTAAATCACGGTCATCCTGTTGGTCATCGATTGCCTCGAGCAGGCCCCAGTAACGTCTCCTTCGGCCTAGCCCTGAGATTTTAAAAAGTGCCACATTCGAGGCTCTTTCAGGGGCAGGAGAATGAGACCCATCATTGTTACTCATTTTTGGCATATTGAATACGCCACGGGGAGTTTGCCAGACTCTACCATGTGGGCAGGATACTTTTGGTAGCCTGCCAGGTTCTCCGGAGTAAGAACTAAATGATAAGATGTTGCGTGGCCGTGAATCTTTGTAAAATGAGGATATATTCTTAAAGTGTTAAGGTTTTTTTTAACTTAAAGTGCAAAAAGTATAAATTTCAATAATTTTCAACCGAAGTTTATAGGAGATTCATTGTAAATAACTTAAATATTCACAAAACCAGAGTGACTTGAGGAATTTTAAGACTGATTTTAAAAGATTGTTCTAAGTAAAAATTATTTTTTTTGTTCTAAGTAAAAATTATTTACCAGGAGCAACACTAAGTCGAGATACGTCAAACAAATACCTTTGGTACAAACTGTAAAATAAAAAATGTCTTTGGTACAAAAATAAAGCAAAATTCAGTAATAAAAAACATATTTTTTATGTAGGAATACTGCTATTTATTCAGCCACTGATTAACTGCCCATTATCCACCTCTAAAAACCCCAGTATACCCCCATCCCACACCCTCCCCCTACCTGTGGGGCAGATGATTTCCACATTACTTTCTCTTTACTTTGATTACATTCAATATTTTAACACCAACCCAACATTATTATTTGGGATTTTACCCCAACACTCAGATCTGCAGAAAAGGAACAGTAGACAATTTGTTTTCCATTGTCGGTTATGAATAACATATGATGTCGCATGGCTGCAGTAGTGGCTGTGCGATTTTGAAATTCCGAAATTTTAACAATTAAATCTGGAGGGATTTCTGCCAAAACCTGCTGGGTTCCAAGATTTGTTCCTGAGTCTCTGGGATCATGGCCGTTAAGCAGATTGATCAGGAGCCAGAAAGGCTGTTCCTGGCAGCGACTCGGAGTCTTGTTGGGATGGGGAGGAAAGGGCAGGCTCCACCCCCATCTTGTGAGGCACCACGTGCCTCGTCACTGTGGGCCCAAACCAGTGGCCTCTGGAGAATGATGGCCACCAGGCCGCCAGGGGTAACAGGCCAAGGCATGAAACCTATTCCCACCTGGGTTGGCCCAGCACTGGTAACCTACTGCAGGGACCGGTCGCATTTCTGCCAAAAGCCGCTGGGTTTCGAGACTTGTTTCTGAATCTCTGGAATCATGGCCATTAAGCAGTTCAATCAGGAACCAGGGAGACCATGCCTCCAATTATATAGCTGAGCCAGAGGTGGTTTGTGGGTGTGTTTCCCACATACCTCACTTTTGGCCGTTTACTTTCTTGGTAAACTCGGCCCCAAGTTTTTGGAGTCTGGCCAAAGGCACAGCAGCAATTTTGGGGTATCAGAAGTCTGAAGGCGCCATCAGGCTGCTGATGCACTCGCCTCAGGTAGAGATTGATCTGCTCGTGGCACCATACCCCCAATAAAAATGTATAATTTTATTTTATTTTATTCATAAAATTTACTGATTTTAATGAAGAAATTAATCCTAACAAATAGGTAGAAATATTTTACTGGTCTCAGATGGTGTTTCAGATAGAAGACAGCACTTTATAAAATTGGTTTTCTGTCTTAGAGATTGTTTAATCCACTGTTCACTATCCTCCCGGTGTACATCAATTTGCTCGAGTGGGCACCAGTAACGTCTCCATTGTGAGACTTGTTACTATTTTTGGCATATCGAATACACCATGGGTAGCTTGCCAGGCTTTGCCATGTGGGCGTTATACTCTTGGTAGCTTGCCGGGCTCTCCGAGAAGGAATGACACATATACACATATTTAACTTTAATGTATACAAAACCAAACCAGTTGATACAATTCTGGAGCTGAAACTAGATAACAAAGCTCGATATTAAAGTCATTATGTATAAACATTTTTATGTAAAAATTGTCATATCTGATCATGAAGTTAAGTCCCTGTTTAAGAATTTATTAAGACGAAGGGATTGGTGTTAGAACAATGAACGACTGAACCCCAATTATAAACAACACTGTAACTGTGTACCACAAAGTGAGTCAAAGAAAAAATAATAATAAAAGAATTTTAAAAAAAGAGTTTACTAGGCTGTTTGTTGCTAGTTGAGCCTTCTGTGTCACTGTTTTTGTTTGCTAAATTTAGTTGTCTTCTATGTTACTTTCCCATCTAATTTGGTCTACTCCTACTAGAATTTATAATGATATATTTTAATTCAGATTCTCCAAGTGGGGCCCGAGTGATATTCAAGCAGGTAGGGCATTTGCCTTGCACACGGCTGACCTGAGTTCGATCACCGGCATCCCATATGGTCCCCCAGCACTGCCAGGAATGATTCCTGAGTGCGGAACCAGGAGTAATCCCTGAGCATTACTGGGTGTGACCCAAAAAAGGAAGGGGGGAAAAAACCCTCGGATTCTCCAAATGATACCAAAAGACCTTTCCTACATTTTCAGGGTTTATAAAAAGTGACAGAATTCAGAACACACTGCACTAATTTATGAATTTATGAATGTAGTAGTATCCCCTAATCTGTGACTTCCCTTTCTATAATTTTATTTATCTGTAAAGACCAAAAATATGGACACCAAGATGTTCTGAGAACAACTCAAGAACATGACAAATTAAATATGTTATAGTATATGGCATAACTTTTCTATTTTTATTTTAATTGCTGTCCTCTGTTTCTGCTTTTTGAGCCACACAAGCAATGCTCAGAGGGATAGCTTCAAGTGATGCTCAGGGCATCATACGTACCTAGGATCCAACTTAGGCCTTCCACATACAAAAAAAGGCCATCTTGCTAATGCTTAATCTGTGTCTAATTTAAAAATTAAAAGTTTGGAGTTTTACTGCATCAGATCCAGGGTAGTGCTGAGGGCAATCCCAGTCATTAACTGGCAGTGGCTATGTACAGCACTTGCTAAAAAAAAAAAAAGGAAAAAAAGTGAAATATAAAGATCAAAACTATTAAATTTTACTCTTTGACCTATTTTTTTGCATTGTCAACTCTTTATCAACATAAAAATATTTGGATTTAAATGAGCCTTCATTTCCTTACAAAGGCTTCTATCTCATAGAAAATGTACTGTAAGTAAATATGTATGTTTTTCTTATTTATAATATCAAATTCAGACATACTCTACGGGGGCTTAGGGAAGGCTTTTCCTCCTCTACATTAAGGTTTAAGTCAAGTAAATATGGATGCCCAGGAGTTAATATTTTGGAGTCAATTGACTTCCATGTTACAAAGCATAGCATTAACTGTCTTCCTGTGTCTATACAAAAAGGACATTGCTAAATAAACCACGTAAATGACATAAAGGAAAGAGAAAAGCAATATAGGATTATTAGTGCTTGATGGAACTGGGTGTGCCTCAGGGGCACTGTTGTGGGAGTAGCTCAATAAGCCTAAGCTCCCTGTGGGAGGAGCAAGGGCAACCCAATGTTATCCAACAACCCCCATAAAGTAAATAAAGATAATGTGTTTTTAAAAAGTTAAGGAACTTCTCAGAAATGACAAAGATTTTAGAAAAAGACTTTTAAAAGTGCTTTGCTGCAAAAACTTCTCATATGTAGAGGGTTTGAATACTGAACAAATCTCAGATTAATTAAATTCATTAGGCCTCAAAAGCCATTACAAAAATAGATCCAAATTTAGAAGATTAAAAGCTACCGTTAGGAATGAGAGGCAACACAGTGGGAAGGCACTTCTCTTACATGTCCCCAATCTGCCTCGGATCACTGTCACCCCACATGGCCCCCCCAAACTGTATCAGAATCAATCTTTGAGTTTAGAGTGAGGTATGCACCCTGAGTACTACTCAGTGTGGCCCCAAAGCCAACAACAATAACAAACAAAAACTACTTATAAAAAGAAGGTAGTCTTGAAATTAAGGACAGAAAAAGTGTCATATCAAAGAGTAACAACATACAAAAAAATCATTTACAAGAAAGTAAACAAAAGATAGAAAGCTTAGCATGGCCCGAACAGGAAGTGACCATAAGCAGTGCTAATTAGAACTTCAGAGGAACATCAACAGATACTCTATGGAAGACAAAAAGATTCTAGTCAAATGAAGAAAGAGGGGCCAACTAAGGAAAAAAGACATAAAACAAAGCCAAAGAATTTCAATGGAAGAAATGAATTACTTACCACTAGGTTGAATTTGTCTCCCTGATGTTTCTTAATTGAGCCAACATTCTGAAAAAAAAAAAAAAAAACCAATGCCTTTAAAAGGAACATCTATAATTTACCTCAAAACATAAATTCTCCTAACATTACCAGTATAAACAAAAATACACAAATTTAGTAAAGTAAAGTAAAGGCCCTCCCGTTGATCATCGATTTGCTCGAGCGGGCCCAGTAACGTCTCCATTGGAGACTTTGTTGTTACTGTGTCTGGCATATTGAATACGTCACGGGGAGCTTGCCAGGCTCTGCCGTGCGGGCGAGATACTCTCGGGAGCTTGCCGGGCTCTCCGAGAGGGGCAGAGGAATCGGAACTCGGGTCAGCCATGTTGGCTGCGTGCAAGGCAGACGCCCTACCCGCTGTGCTATCGAATTTGCTAACTTCTAAATAGTTACCTTTTAGCAAACAAGTTTACTGTTTTCTATATAATTGTAAACTTTTGTCTACAGGAACTAACAATATAGGAGCCCTCAATTAGCATCATTAATAGGTTCTTGGTAACTGAAATCATAAGTGAAACCAATGTTCTTCAAAACCAAGTCCACAAGAGTCATTTTGTTAACATCTGCCAGAATACATTTTTTTTTTAATCAATGTTACCATTAAACAACTTTATTCGAGGACCTGCTGTATTCCTTTGATCATTAAAGTCCCATTTATTTGAACTGAGAAATAAAGCTCTTTTCAAATAATTAAGTTCTAGTCACTACATTTAACAGTTTTTTTCTGATTATATGAGAAAAGAACATCTAAAATTAAAAATAAAAATTAGAAATATTCAAGTGAAAGATGAGAAAAAAACAAGACTTAGAAAAAATGAAGAAAGTCTATGTATGGTAAATAATAAATACATTACATGGGTAAATGCCAGAATTAGAGAAGTGCTAGGAGATAAAGAGAAGGGTTTATATTGCCAGAATTTAAAGAGAAGGGTTTATATTCCCAGAAGGGTTTATACTGCCAGAAGGGTTTATAATGCCAGAATTAGGGAAGTGCTAGGAGATAAAGAAAAGGGTTTATAGTAATCCTGTTAAAGTCTGAAAATATCTTAACCTAGGAATATCTAACTTTTTTTTTAACTCCAATCTATACCAAATTATATCCTCATTATATCATCAAGCTGAAACAAACAAAAAATATATTGACGACTGTTAGGGAAAAGAATAAAGTGACACCCCTATCAGGATTGCCATCAGACTTCTCAGAACTCCAATAAACTAGAAAAAAGTGAAACTAAACATCAAAAACTGCCCGCAAAGAGTCAGGAAGATAATACAAAGGGCTGGAATGCAAATGTGGCATGTGGAAGATCTAGTTTTGATTTCTTGTACCACATGGTACCATAGTACCACCAGGGTGGCTCTGGGGAGTCTTGCACTGCTGACCCAGGCATCACAAGAAATTACCACCCAGCCCAAAGAAACCAGTAGTAATAAGTCAACAACAAAAGATAAAAATAAGAAAAAAAACAAAATCAGTTTAGTCAAATAATGAGTCAATACCAGCACACACAAGAAATATTTTTTCAGATACAGAAAGTATGATAAAATCTTTGGAGTTGGGCTGGAATGATAGCACAGCGGGTAGGGCGTTTGCCCTGCATGCAGCTACCTGGGTTCAATTCCCAGCATCCCACGTAGTTCCCCGAGCATTGCTGGGAATAATTCCTAAATACATAAACTAGGAGTAACCTCTGTGCATCGCTGGGTGTGACCCAAAAAGTCAAAAAGCCAAAAAAAAAAAAATTCTGGCGTTAAAGAACAAAAATCTAGAGCAAAGAAAAATTATAATTTAAAATGGTAGAATTGGGGGTATGGTGCCGCCAGCAGGTCAATCTGTACCTGTGAGGCGAGTACATCAGCAGCTTGATGGCATTTTCAGACTTCCAGATACCCCAAAATTGCTGCTGCGCCTTTGGCCAGACCCCAAAAACTTGGGGCCAAGTTTACCAAGAAAGTAAACAGCCAAAAGTTAGGTATGTGGGAAACACACCCACAAACCACCTCTAGCTCAGCTATATAATTGGAGGCATGGCCTCTCTGGTTCCTGATCGAACTGCTTAAAGGCCATGATCCCAGAGACTCAGAAACAAATCTTGAAACCCAACGGCTATTGGCAGAAATGTGTCCGGTCCCTGCAGTAGGTTACTGGTGCTGGGCCAACCCAAGTGGGAATAGGTTTTGTGCCTTGGCCTGTTCCCCCTGGAGGCCCGGAGGCCGCCATCCTCCAGAGGCCACTGGATTGGCAGGTTTGGGCCTGCAGTGACGAGACACGTAGGGCCTCACGGGATGGGGGTAGAGCCGGTCCTGTCCTCCCTGTCCCAACGAGACCCCAAGTCATTGCCCACGAACAGCCTCTCTGGCTCCTGATCAAGCTGCTTAATAGCCATAATCCCAGAGACTCAGGAACAAATCTCAAAACCCAGCGGCTTTTGGCAGAAATGCGTCCGGACCACGCAGGTTACTGTCGCTGGGCCACCCCAGGGGGGAAAAGGTGTTGTCCCTCCGCCTGCATCCCCCTGGCGGCTCTGTGGCCATCATCCTCCAGAGGCCATTGGACAGTCAGGTCTGGGCCCGTACATAGTGATGAGACATTTTGGGCCTCACGAGATGGGGTGGAGCTGGTCCTGTCCTCCCCATCCCAACAAGACCCCAAGTCATCGCCCACGAACGGCCTTTCTGGCTCCTGATCAAGCTGTTTAACAGCCATGATCCCAGAGACTTAGGAGCAAATCTCCGGAACCCAACAGGTTTTTAGCAGAAATCCTTTCAGATTTAAGTGTTAAAATTTTGGAATTTCAAAATCGCGCGATCACTACTGCAGCTATGCGACATCATATGTTATTCATAACCAGCAAAAGAAAAAAAATTGTCTACTGTTGCCTTTTCAGTGTTGGGGTAAAATCTCAAATAATAATGGTGGGTCTGTTGTCAAAATAATGAATGTGATCAAAGTAGACAGAGAGTAATGTGGAAATCATCTGCCCCACAGGTAGGGGGAGGGTTGTGGGATGGGGGTGTACTGGGGTTGTTGGGGGTGGAGAATGGGCACTGGTGAAGGGACGGCTGTTTCATCATTGTATGACCAAGACTCAAACCCGAAAGCTTTGTTACTGCTCTCACGGTGATTCAATAAATAAAATTTAAAAAATGAAAAAAAAAAGTAAGGTGGAGTTCATGCACAAGTCAATCAGCTAATCAGTGGCTGAATAAATAGCAGTACTCCTATATTAAAAAAATGGTAGAATTAAGAAAAAAATCCAAATAAAAAGGCATTTAGAAACAAAACAGAAAAATGATTTGGAAATATAGAAAAAAAGTGTATGTGTACACAGATGGCAGTAAGTCCCATGTACCAATAGTCAAAAAAAAGATAGCTCAGGAGTAGGGCGTTTGCCTTGTGCGTGGCTGAACCGGAGTTCAATTCCTCGCCCCTCAGAGAGCCCGGCAAGCTACCCAGAGTATCTCGCCCGCACGGCAGAGCCTGGCAAGCTCCCCGTGACGTATTCGATATGCCAGACACAGTAACAACAAGTCTCAAAATGGAAACGTTACTGGGCCCGCTCGAGCAAATCGGTGAACAGTGGGAGGACAGTGCTACAGACAGTGCAGCAAAATCAAAATCGTTTTACAAAAAGTGGTCAGACATATTAAAAACAGGATCCATCAAGGGGCCAGGAAGATAGCTTAAAGAGCTAGTGCACATGTGGGACAAAGTTTGATCCCCAGCACATGGTTGTACCCTGAGCACCTCCAAAAGCAACCCTCAGCTATGCACCAGAAGCCCCTGAGCAACACTAGGTAAAGCAACAAGAGCAAGACTCATATCAGATGATGTAAAACAAACACAAGCTCAGAATAAAAGGTCAAAGCAGGGTACCCCAAGTTAACAATGCAGAGAAAAGGCAGTAACTGATTAAGACCTTCAGCTTAAAAAAAAGGGCAAAAACAGAGGCCAGAAAAAGAGTACAGCAGGTAAACCACCTGACTTGTACAGTCAACCTTATTTTATCCTGATCCTTGGTAACTTAGGGATCATTCCTGGCGGTGCTTGGGTGACCATATGCATTACACATATGGTTACATATATGGTCACCCAAGCACCGCCAGGAATGATCCCTAAGCATAGAGCCAGGAGTGGCCCAAAAACCAGAAAAAAGAAGATAGAAATGTTACACTGATCAAGAGGGCGAACAGATAAAGATAAAATGCTCACCAATATCTGAGCAGTATTGAAGGTTCCCAAATATACAAAACAACAGACCATGAGGGATACAAAAGATGGGGAGAAGAGCTGAACATACAATTCTTCAAAGATAGAGCAGATGGCTCAAAGGGCAGAAAGGCATGTTCTGCATATGGGAGATCAAGTGGAAGCAATTCCTAGGCACTAAAAATCAAAGGAAAAAAAACAAATGAAGACAGATAGTCAATCGGCATATGAAAAAGTACTCATTATTACTGATTGTAAGAGAAATGCAAAGTGCAATGAAATCACCTCATAAACAGGGTTGAATGGTCTGTTTCAAAAGTCTGGTAACAACTAAAACTAGTAGAGATATGGTGGGAAAAAATTGTGTTATTCACTGTGGGAAGGTAGTATGGTTCAGTTTCTATGGAAAAGAGAATGAAAATTTCCATACTGAAGCTGAGCCAGGAATATGGCTCAAAGGGATGGAGCACATACTTTGCAAGTGAGAACCCTGGGTTCCATTTCCTGGGCATAAGCCCCAACTCGTAAGCACTGATGTATGTATCCTCCTTCTCCCCCCAAAACTGCAAACATAGCTAACAATCATCTAGCAATTCCAACTTTTTAATATCTACTCCTAGAATATAAAATCACTAAATCAAAAAGATATATGTACACCTATGTTCACTGGAATGCTATTTATAATAGTCAAGATCTGAAAAAAAAAGAGGCAAAAGAGATGGTACAGGGTAAATCATATGGCTGACCTCAGTTTGATCTCTGATAGCACATGGTCTCCTGGGCATCACTGGATAGAGTC